AGGCCCGCGAGCACGTGGTACTGTCTTGACACGGGCGGCGGGCGGTGTCAGCATATTCCCTGCTGCGCGCTAGGCGACCACCCCTGATACAGAAAATTGCAACATGCACTCGCGGCTAAATCTGGATCATGCGCGGCCATCCCGCGATCACTGACAGGTGGTTTTTGACAGGGACGGCGGGGGTGGTGGCGCGTGGCCTGCTGTGCGCAGGCCCACCAGACACAATGATGGGCATCGGTTTTCGACAAAGTTGGCGGGGGCCGACATGTTTCCCGATGCGTGCTGTCACGTGCGCAGGGGCACCTGACGCACTCTGCACGTGCCCCGAACGCGGCGCACCTGGCGCGGCTGGAGTGTGCGGCACACCTGGCGCACTCGGAACGCGTGGCGCATCTGGCGCACCAGGCGTGCCTGGCACGCTCGGGCCCCAGGGGTGCCTGGCGCGCGTGGCGCCCCTGGCATGCGTGGCACACCTCGCCCAAGCGTCGCGCACCTGGGGCCGGCTTTGGTTCCCAGTAGCTGCCCATCCAAAGACGACCGCTGAACACGCTCAGGTTCGGGTGTTGCTTGTGTGTAAGGAGGGCGGGTGGGAGTGAACCGCGCGTCTTGCGGGCGGGCGGGTCGCCGAACCCCTCTTTCTGACCCCTCTTGTGGACATGGACGGGGGGGCCGCGACGAGTTGGAGCATCCAAAGCGGCCTCGGCGAGGAAACCAAAATCATTGGTGTTACAAAATGTTGTGGCCCCATGTTGGCCTCTTGGGGGAGGAGGGGAGGCTAAAACAAGCCCCCCTCTGCTTTGATCGATCTCCTCCCAAATGGCCCCAAGAGCGCCCCTGAAGTTCCCCACCAGGTGCAAAGCAGCAGGATGCCTGTGTCCTGACCGCTCGAGAAAATTATCCTGGCGAAAGGCCCAGCCATATGCTGTTGTGAGTACCGCAATTGTGAATATCTTCCTCGGTGGTGCCCACGAGCCGCATGAGGGGCGCGCCGAAATGTGAAGGGGTACGCAGCACGAAGGACAACGGTTGGTATAATAACGAAAGACTGAGCGCGGGCGAATCTGAGCGCGAGTGAACCTAAGTGTGAATGAGCCTGCGTGCGAGCGAATATATGTGTACGAATGCGATCATGGCTACGCCTCGTGTAAATACATCTGAATGTGAATGGTTCGGGTATGCCTGTCTGTGCACTCGTGACGCTGAGCGTGGCCGCCGCAGAAAGCTTCCGCGGGAACCCCGGCGGCGCCGCCCGCGCGCCGCGACGCCCATGTCGGCACGCCCCTAACGAGGATCGCGCCCGCTTCCTTCCCTTCTTTTCCTCCCTGATTGCCCGCGCACTCCAAAGTCCAAAGCTGCGGGAGCAGCGCGGCGCGGAGTCCCCGCGACGCGCGCTGGTCGCCCCGGAAGGGCCCCAGCGACGCGCGCGGGTCGTCCGCTGCGCGGAGCAAAGAGAGCTAGCTAGCTTGCTGGCTGGCTGGTAGCGGGCAAGGCTCTGACCGCTGGGCAAAGCGACGACGGTCGAGCGAGGCGCAAGGAAGAACGCAGCGCGGAGGTCCCGCGAAGCGCGCTAGTCGCCCCGGGAGGGTCCCAGCGACGCGCGCGGGTCGTCCGCGGCGCGAAGCCAACCAATTGTAGTCGAGAGTCGAGAGAAGGCGCGGCTCCGGGGGGGGCCCTGAGGTCATGCCTTGCGGATACACTCGGTGAAGCCGAGCTCCCTGGCGAGGGCCGTCGCCTCCCTCCTGCGCCGCTTCGTGCGCGCCGCAAACTGCCCCACCTGCTTCCGCAAGCCCCCCCTCGGCCCTGCGAGGAAGAACTCGACGCGCGGCGCCCGCGTGAGCAGAAGCCCTCGTGGCGCGCGAGAGCAGCACATAGAGCTCCAGCCACCAGTCGTCGCCCTCATTCTTGCCTTCGGATGCGGAGGATCCCCGGCGCGCCCGCGGCCGCCAGCCCGCATGCCACGGGGCGATCCGGAGCCGCCGCCGGACGAAGACGACGACGGCGACATCCACCAGGCCACTCCTCCACCGCTCGTTCACAGCGACCACAGCGAGAACACCGGAAAGACCCTCGCTGGTGGAGTGGAATCTCCCGTGAATGCAAAGCAACATACATACGGAGGGGAGCGGGCCTCCTCCTCCTCCTCCTCCTCCTCCGCCTCCTCCTTCTCCCCAGAGGTCTGGAGCTCTTCGTTGAAACCGTGAGTGTGGCGGACGCATGGTGGCGGTGGCATTGGCGCCTTCGGTGGAACCCCTTATGGGGCCAGGAAGCGTGTGAGGGGTGTGCCCAAATTCGTGTGGGGGACGCATGCGGACGGTGGCACTGGGGCCTTCGGTGGGGTTCCCTATGGGGCCACGAAGCGTGTGAGGGGCGTGCCGACATGGGTATGCGGGACGCATTCGGGCGGTGGCACTGGGGCCTTCGGTGGAGCTCCCCATGGGGCCACGAAACGTGTGAGGGGTGTGCCGACATGGGTGTTGGGGACGCACGCGGGCGGTGGCACTGGGGCCTTCGGTGGAACTCCCTACGAGGCCGCGAAACGTGTGAGGGGTGTGCCGACATGGGCGTGGGGGACGCAGGCGGGCGGTGGCACTGGGGCCTTCGGTGGGACTCCCTATGGGGCCACGAAGCCTGTGAGGGGTGTGCCGAAATGGGCGTGGGGGACGCATGCGGGCGGTGGCACTGGAACCTTCGGTGGAACTCCCTATGGTGCCACGAAACTTGTGAGGGGTGCGCCGAAATGGGCGTGGGGGACGCAGAGGGGCGGTGGCACTGAGGCCTTCGGTGGAGCTCCCCATGGGGCCACGAAGCGTGTGAGGGGTGTGCCGACATGGGTGTTGGGGACGCATGCGGGCGGTGGCACTGGGGCCTTCGGTGCAGCTCCCTATGGGGCCACGAAACGTGTGAGGGGTGTGCCGACATGGGTGATGATGCTGGTGATGATAACGGTCGCGATGCTGATGACAATGATGATGAGGAGGATGATGAAGCCGATGATGATGATGATGATGATGATGATGATGATGATGACGCTGCTGGCGATGATGATGATGATGATGCTGGCGATGATGATGATGATGATGATGATGATGATGACGGGAGGAGAGAGGAATGGGGAGGAGGAGGCGGAGGAGGAGGAGGAGAAGAGGAGAGGAACGCGGGGCGACGTCTCTTCAAAACGAGGACCCCACACCGCAGGATGGTTGGGAAATAGGAAAACCAGGGAGGGCGCCGCCTAGCCGCGACCCGGAGACGCAACGCCAGGAGCGACGCCACCACAGCCACCAGGGGACCCGGAGGTGGGCGGAGTCGGGTCGTGGTCGACCGCCTCGTCGTCGTCGTCGCCTGAATGGCGACCTTGGGTCGCCGCCACCGCCGCCGCCTCCCCGCCGGGGTCGCCGCCGGAGCCGCCATGGCCGCCGCCGCCCGGGCCGCCGCCGGGGCCGCCGCCCCTGGGGGCCCCCCAGGCCGTCACCACCTCAGCGGTGCCTGGCGCCCCCGCGGAGCACGCGCTGGACGCCTCGGAAGGGGGGGGGGGGGGCCGAGAAGACAAGGACTTCGAGGCCGAGGCGGCAGGCAGCAACCTGGAGCTGAGCCCGGCGCCCCCGAAGCTCCCGAGAGCGCCCCAAGAGGGCCCCGAGAGGCGCCCAGACAGCCCCAAGAGGCCTCCAAGAGGCCCCCAAGAGAGCCCCAAGGGGCACCCAAAGGCTTCAAGAGGATACCCGAGGCACCCAAGATGCCCCTCAGACGCTCCAAAAGGCCCCCCCGAGGCACCCAAGACGCCCAAGAGCCCCCCAGGACCGCCCAAAGACCCCTAATACGTCCCAAGAGGCCACCAAGAAACGCCAAAACGATATCCCAAGAGGCCCCGGGAGGCATCCACGAGACCTCGGGCCCTTTTGCTCGCCGTCCTCCTCCTGCTCTTCCTTCCTCCTATACTCCTTCTCTTCCTCCTCCTCCTGAACATGCCCAGCGCCTGGGTGAAAATGTAGGGGGCCACGACGAACCAGTAGACCTCCATTTCCGCGCCTGCGGTCCGCCCCAGAGCTGCCCAGCGCGCGCCCGGCGGTGCCCAGCCGGCCTAGCCGGCGAGCCCCGCGGCCAGCCCGGCCGCGGTCTCCCTGCGGTCGAACCCAAGGGATGACCGCAGCTGCCGGGCAGTCGCGCGTTGAAGGGCGACGCTGAGCTCCGCGCCCCACCGCGCCGTCAGCGCGCTGGCCGCCGCCTCCGCCGCCGGGCCTTCGCCGAGCTGCTGCGCCTGGTCCCGGGCGAGCCAGCGCAGGAGGCGAAGCGCAGCCTTCCCGTGGCGCCCGCCTGTCTCCAGCGCAAGCGGGACGGCGGGCCAGGGCGCCCTGTGCCCGTGGTAGCGGCGCCGTTTGTCCGCCTCCGCTTGGGCGTTGACGGCGCCGTCGCCCTCTGCGGCCGCCGCCAGGGCCCGCGCGTCTCCAGGCACGCTGTACCGGACGGTAACGTCCGCATACAGCCGCGGGCAGTCGCCCCGCTGTGCCTCCAGGTCCAAGAAAGTTTCCTCGCGCTCCGTCGCAAGCTCCTCCTCCTCATCCTCCTCCTTCTCCTCCTCCTCCTCCTCCTGATCATCGTCATCATCATCATCATCGTCATCATCATCAGCATCATCAGCATGATCATCCGCATCATCAACATCATCATCATCACCCGCATCATCCTCATCAGCATACTCAATCTTATTCTCCCCACTCCCCATCCATCCATCCAGCCTCCATATTATCCTCATCCCTCCTTCGCACGGTTCGGCCGTCCACCTCTTCGCTCCCGCACTTCTCTGATCACCGCAACGTGCCTGGACATCGTTTCTGGATGGGCTGGTGGAGATACTTTTTTGATCGCGAACGCAAGCGGAAGGGCCGCGCGCCGTCCAAAGCTACAGCTAACCAGCAGGAGCCTAAATTGCACACAGTCTGGTGGGGATGCACGAAGCGTCGCGAATTCAAATATATGATGGGGGTCGGCGGACAGACGCACGCCCCTTGAATAGAAGGCGACGTGGCTGTGGTGGATGCCGGGGCGCTCTGGGTCCCCCGTGTCCTTTTTCTGGCAAGGCCCACGGCTGTGTACAGCTGACCCCCGTAGGTGGTCCCAGCGGGCCTCAGCAGCCCCCCTGGACAGCTCCGGGCGGGATCACACCCCGGCCCTGGGGTGCGGAGCGCCCTGGGCGACGACGCCGGATGCGGGGCTGAGGTGTTGAGACGGCCCCTGGGGGCTGGCCGTGCGCAGGCCGAAGCCTTCCCAGAATCCTTCTGGTACCCAGAGGCCAGGAGGTAGAACTCGCAGCGGAGGGCGAGCAGCGCCCAGTCCTCCAGACCGAAGAGCTTGAACAACGGCCTGCCGTCCCCCGTGTCGTTGATGTCCTCGACACCGTGAACGTCCGCAGGCAGGGGCTTGTCGTCCTTGTCTTCGAGCTTCGCCTTCTCCTGGCACTGCGCCGCTAGCTTCTCGAACTCCGCGTGCGCGGTCTTGAACCACTCGCCTGGCTGCAGATCGTCGATGCGAGACGTGACCTTGTTCTTCAGGACGTAGTCCTTCAAGTACTTCCTGCTCGCCGCCTCTGGCTGCCACTCGAACACGATCTCGTCGAAGCCCTCGCTCTTGTCTGGGAGCGTGAAACTGCAGAAGCTGCTCGACAGCACGCCAGGGGCGAGGTCGGCCACGGGATTCCGATGGAAACACCTCGCTCTCTCTTCGTCGGTGAGCTCAGCCACAGGCATCGGCTCGTCTGGCTCCTCTTCGTCTTCCTCCTTGGACTCCTCTTTGACCTGTTCCTTGGGCTCTTCCTTCGCCTCCTCCTTCACCTCCATCGCCTCATCCGCCTTCGGGTCCTCCTGCTCTTCCTTCGGCTCCTTCGCCGTCTCCTCTGTCTTCTCGCCGCCCTGAGCCTTGTCCTCATCCTTCTTCGCTTCCTCTGCTGCCTTAGCGGCCACCAAAACCTCCTCAGTCTCCTTACTCTTCTCCTCTTCTTCCTTACGTTTCGTCTCAAGGATCTGTTTCCGCCTCTGCTCCAATTGCTTTTTGCGTTCCTTGGCTTCCTTCCGTGCCTTCCACTCCGCCTCGAGCCTCCTTTGCTTCTGCTCGAGCATGACCCGGTGCACCTTGTCGACGTACTCTTTGGGAGGCACGCCCACGGCTACCCTAGCAACCTTTTTGAACTTGGTGGAGCTGAACCTCTTCAGATTTGCCTTCCTGTCCTCCGCGCACAGGTTCTGTTTCACTTCCATAACCACGTAGTTCCTCGCAGTGATCCAAAGAGGCGCTGACGAAAGCAAGCCCTGTCTACTCTGTATGCGGTGAGTGCGGTGTATCCTCTCAGCCAGCTCTTCCCACGGAGTCGTTCTTTTTGACTGTACCAGGGCCAGGGAAGGCCCCTAGAGGCCGAGCGTGCTGAAAGTCTTTCGCTCCCCTCAAGACGGCGCGCGCTGAGGCCTAGGGCAAGGCGGGGGCTTTCGCTCGGGGCAGGGGGCTTCCTAAATTCCCTCTTGTCTCACAAGCATCCGGCCCCCTCTAAGAAACCGCCTGCTTCGCCCGGATTCCACTCAAAACCCGGTCGCCAGACCCCTCCTGGGCTCAACTCTGCAAAGTGTTCGAAGCCGCGTCCAACCGTGGCGACGAAAACCTCCAGACACCTGCAGAACATCCCAGATTGCGACGTGCACGGCGGCTGCATTCCTGGAGGGCCGCCCCCCTTGGCATCAAGGCCCTGGACCGCGAGGCTGTCTCCGGGACCCGTTGTTCATCCTGAGTCGTTTCGGGCGATCCCCTTTCTACAGAATGTATTTTTGCAACCGGAAGTTAAAACAAAACATCGGACCGGCGGTAACCTCCAAACCAGCAGCAACGTTGACTCGCGGCGACGTTCCGCGCCACGCAGGGCGCGACAGAGCTGATCACCTTGCAGGCGCTCAGGTCGTCGAGCATGGGCAGCCCGAAGTCGAACGACGGCTTGTCGTTCGAGCTCGACCATCCCTTCCTGCTGCCCCGCCACAGTCCTTGGAGGAAGCGAGCTCTGCATCAACGCCGGTCCTGGCCAGGACCATCTTGGGTCCAAGATGGGTGTATGCGCCCTCTCCCTGCCCCGTTTCTCGTCATCATCCTTCTCCACGACCTCTTCCTCTCCCTCCTACTGCCCCTCCTCCTCCACAGCGACACAATATGGCTCTATTCTCCTTTCTCCCCCGACTATGTGCAGACAACGTGCTCGAATCCCCCGACACGAACGGCAGCAAGGGGGCCACTGAGGGCTGCCACGGGGCCACGAAGGGCACCGAGGGGGCCGCGAAGTGCTGCCACGGGGCCGCGAGTGGCAGCGAGGGGGCCACGATGAGCTGCAACGGGGCCACGAAGGGCCGCGAGGGGGCCACGAAGGACTGCAACGGGGCCACGAAGGGCAGCGAGGGGGCCACGAAGGGCTGCAACGGGGCCACGACGGGCAGCGAAGGGGGCCACGAAGGACTGCAACGGGGCCACGAAGCGCAGCGAGGGGGCCACGAAGGGCCGTAAGAGCACAAGAGCGCGATGCTTGAAAAACTGCTAGCAAGTCCCCAACGAGAGCGCGACTCCAAAGCGCCGAGAGAGCGATTCCCGAGTACATTGTAAGGAAGTCCCGAGGGAGAGCCCGAGTCCTGAGTAACCCGCGAATAAGTCTCAAGCGGGAGCGGGGGCCCTGGCTAAATTGTGATGATGGCTCAGGCCGGAGCCGTTGTTATTGCAATCCCAGGGCCAAGGGCGCACTTTGAGCTTAGTGGCTTTCCCGGATGAAAACATAATGGTTTCCTGAGGGCGGGAACCAATGATATTGCTCTTCAATAGTGAAAGAGTTCAGCAAAAACAACAGACACAATCATTATAAGACTGTTCGTTCTTACTTGCCGGTATGTCCTTTCAAACGAATCCCCTAAACCCTCGACGCCCGCCTTTCTTATATTCGATCACCCCCCTTCGGGGGGATTATCTCTTTTTGCGGGGGGCGGCGGGCTTAGATAGGCGGGCAAACTTGAACGGGAGAAAAGCCCTTCGTGGGCGTACATGTGCCCGCCACTGAAATTGGTGTGGGCCCTGCAAAAAGATGAGGGGGATAACGGGGGAGAGTGAGAGGAAGGGAGGGGGAGGGACGAAGATAGAGGGAAGACGCCAGGAGAGAAGGAGCGAAACAGGGGGGCGGTTGCTTAGAGGCACAGAGAGAGAGAGAGAAAGAAAGAAAGAAAGAGAGAGAGAGAGAGAGAGAAACAAAAAGAGAGAGAGAGAGAGAGAGAGAAAAAGAGAGGGAGAGAAAGAGAGAGAGAGAGAGATAACGAGAAAGACAGATAAGAGAGGTAAGAGAGAGAGAGAGAGAGAGAGAGAGAGAGAGAGAGAGAGAGAGAGAGAAAGAGAGAGAAGAGGAGAAAGAGAGAGAGAGAGAGAGAGAGACAAAAAACATTAGCCTGGCGAAGGACCCAACCATATGCAGTTGTGAATACCGCAATTGTGAATACCATCTTCGCCCGCGCTCCCTATGTGGCCACGGCTTCCCGCCGGAGCCCGACATGCTCAGGACACGTTCGTGACCGTCTTCGCGGGCGCCGACGACGACAAAGACGGCGCCCCTCTCACCGAGGAGCAGAAGCAGGAGAGGGCCTTGGGAGCCATGAAGGAGGAGTTGGCGTTGCACGTCGACAAGGCAAAGTACGACGCCCAGGCGCGGCTGTTGAAGCAGCACAACTACGGGGCCACGATTCTCGTGAGGGATGTGCCGCAGTGGCCCGAAGCCGCCATGCGAACCATGCCACTGGCGCCTTCGGTGGAGCTCCCTATGGGGCCACGATCCTCGTGAGGGGTGTGCCGAAATGGCCCGAGGCCGCCATGCGAACCCTTCCACTGGCGCCTTCGGTGGAGCTCCTCCCTATGGGGCCACGATCCTCGTGAGGGGTGTGCCGAAATGGCCCGAGGCCGCCATGCGAACCCTGCCACTGGGGGCCTACGGTGGAGCTCCCTATGGGGCCACGATCCTCGTGAGGGGTGTGCCGAAATGGCCCGAGGCCGCCATGCGAACGCTGCCACTGGCGCCTTCGGTGGAGCTCCCTTATGGGGCCACGATCCTCGTGAGGGGTGTGCCGAAATGGCCCGAGGCCGCCATGCGAACGCTGCCACTGGCGCCTTCGGTGGAGCTCCATTATGGGGCCACGATCCTCGTGAGGGGTGTGCCGAAATGGCCCGAGGCCACCATGCGAACGCTGCCACTGGCGCCTTCGGTGGAGCTCCCTATGGGGCCACGATCCTTTTGAGGGGTGTGCCGAAATGGCCCGAGGCCGCCATGCGAACCCTGCCACTGGGGGCCTTCGGTGGAGCTCCCTGTGGGGCCACGATCCTCGTGAGGGGTGTGCCGAAATGGCCCGAGGCCGCCATGCGAACCCTTCCACTGGCGCCTTCGGTGGAGCTCCCTATCGGGCCACGAAGCGCTGTACTGGGCGGGTGAAACGCAGGGAGGAGGGAGGAGTGACGGGAGGGGGGAGGCGGGGGAGGAGGAGAGGAGAGGAGGAGGAGGAGGAGGAGGAGGAGGAGGAGGCGGAGCGTAGCTGAAGGAGTCCCACGTCCCAATCTACACATATCTGCACTGCCCTCCCTGCCTCTCTCCTTGCGAGAGTACGCAGCACGGGCCTTCGCGATGGCATACTTCACCTGCCAGGGGGCCTGAGAGGGAGGCCTGCTCCTCGGCAGACAGCACCTTGATCGCAGCGTAGTTGCGAGGCATGTCGTAATCCACAAATTGGAAGAGGGTGAGGTGGAGCGGGGACGAGGCATCATCGGAGCGAGGGGAACGAGGGGGGAGGGGATTCGATTCCGACGGCGCCTGAGTTTGAGGCCCGCTTGCATACAAGGCCTGCTCTTCGGCAGTGATTACCCTGACCCTACTCGGGTCGCGGGGCATCTCATAATCAATGAAACGAAATTCGACGAGCTCGTCCTCTCGACCGAGTCCGAGCAAAGAGGGGGGATCATGAGGGGTCGGAGAGAGAGGTGGGTGAGGCGACACCAGCCATGGGAGACCTATTGCTTCAGAGCCCCGAGCCTCACACGATGGGCCGTCCTCCTCGAGGTCTCCGCGGGCCGCCTCGATGGACTCACGAAGGGTGGGTCGACGAAGAAGTGCCAGCTGCTGTCGTCCACGAAGAGGGAGCCTCAGCGCGATCTGCGCAGCAGGGACGAGCTCCAGCGCCCTCCTGTACGTTGGTGGGGAGCTGTGCCGTGCCGCCATCAGCCGATAGTGGTGGTAGCAAGCGATGAGAGCGGCAGGAGTCGGCCCCCACAGCCCGAGTCGATGCCGAATCTCACCTGGGAGATCTTCTCGAAGAGTGAGGGCGCCGAAGTGTAGGCACCGATGGCACTCCATCAAATAATGTCGCATAGTATCTGGGCCGCCACAACCATAGATACACCATGCCTCACGTTGCATACGTCGGTGAGTGATCCAACCCCCTAGGTGCGACCTCACACATATGAAGGCCCAAGATGCGGGCATTAGCTGCAATTGGTTGATGACCGATGGCCAGCACACATCCCGAATACCAAAGTGCTTCTGCACGCGGGCGGAGAGCAGCTCTAGAAGTCTGTCAGGGAAGACTGCACGCTGGAAGATGTCGGTGAAGGCCGCCTGCCACTTGGGTGCTCGGGAACGCGGCAGTCCTTGTCCCTCAGCTGGCTCCGGAACGCGACGGGCGAGGCTCCATGGGAGCGGGCAAGGATTGGGTTCAGCTCGGAAGAACTCGATCACCTCTGCGGGGACGGACGAGTCGCCGCCTTCCCATAGACTCAATGCCATTCGCCCACCCTCTTTCAGCACTTGGGACGATGGGAAGCCCTTCGCTGCCTCTTCCAAGCGGCAAGCAAAAGGTGGTGCCATCCAGAAGCTCGGGGCCAAGACGTCACTGGCAGCCTGGGAGAACGTGCCATATTCCCAGAGGAGATCCCGATGTCGCTGCAGCTGCTCGCGCCATGTCGAACATGTGATCAGAGCTGCTCGAAGCCGTGCGGCAGCAGCAACGCAGAAGACAGAGCTGAACTTCGGGCCGTTCACTGCGCTAAGCGCGAAGCAGTCACCAGTCCGAAGCATACTAGCAGGTGTGCGCATGATGCGAGCCAGCAGAAAGCGCTGCTGTTGCCCGACCCTCCAAGGAAGAGGAACCAGCTGGGCCACGTACGACAGCGTGGGAGCAGCTCTCTGACGATAAAGAGCGGCAGCCGTGGAGAGAGCTGCACCCTGCGAAGAAATTGCCGTAGCACGAGTGGCATGCTTGAGAACAGGAGTCGACCATTGACTATCATCAGTGGCTCCAGGCCCAATCTGAAATCCAAGATATGTACACGCTGAAACAATCGCGAAATCTGCCCAGGCGGGGTCGGCCCCCACAAGTTGGTGTCGAAGTAGGGTTCCGTGCTCAGGCATAGACGGGTCACGAAGAGGAATCACATTGCATTTGGCAGGCTTAAGTCGTAGCTGAGCGAACCTCGAAGCATGTCGAAATACTCGAGCCAAACGTGGATACGCTCTGTCGTGGAAGAGGACTGCCCCAAGATCATCCGCACATGCACGAACCACCCCCAAGAGACGCCCACGAGCAACTAGACAGTGTTCTAAGTCCAGAAGGAACGGGTTGCTCGCGATCACATAGAGCGAACCACTCAACGGACAGCCCTGAAGCACCCCTGAGTTCATGTGGTATAGGTACGTCGGAGAGTCGCCGACGAAGTAGCATGGAGTGCAGTGGTAGAGGGAGCGAAGAGCGCGGACCAGAGGGGCAGGAATACGGAGTCGGGCGAGACATTGGAATAGCCACTCCTGGGATACCGACGGGAAGGCCTGGGCAAAGTCAAACGCGATCAACGACGGTGCCTGGAAGGACGCAGTAGACATAATACTGGCCGATCGAGCGTAGAGGTCCAAATCGACAATATTATCCAGAAAATTTCGCCTCCGAATAAAGCCCCTTTGGGATGGAGCCCCGATCCTCTGCGTCACCCAGCTCATAGTCTGGTTCAGCACACTGCACACCACTTTATTCGAGGAGTTCTTGAGCCCGAGCGGGCGGGTATCACCAGGGGCCCGTACAACACCACCATCGTCGGGATCATGGGAAGGGGCCTTGGGGTCCTTAGGGAGGAAGACGGCCAGCAACGCAGTGAAATTGGAGGGCATGTAGTTCCCAAGAGCAATCCAGCGAAGAACTTCGAGAAGGACCCTCGACCCCGAACCACACCTCCAGGCCGCATAGTGAAGCCCATCAGGGCCAGGAGCGGACCAGTTCGACTGTTTCAGCGCACGTTCCACATCTCGAAGGATGGGTGGGCGAACCTCTGAGAAGTCCTCTGAGCTGCTGAATCGGTCTATGTATTTCTTGGCGACAGAGGGGACGGAGTGGGTCTTGGAGAACACGGGGCCCCAATAGGATGCCAATGCGTCCACCATCGGGGCTTGGGAGGGAGGTGCCTGTTCCGACGTCAGTGGGCCGCCCGCCAGCATCTCCGAAACCGAGACCATCTCATTCGCCTTGACCGATGCTAAGTACTTACGCCGACACAACGGATTCCATAACTGTGCAGACCTAATGATAGCACGACGACGCCCAGCCAGACGAATCCTGACCGTGCTCGACGACGACTGGTTGATCTCTGACTCGAGAGCTTTCTTTCTGGATTCTGCTTCTTGCTGCTGCCACAAACTATGGAGATCATGGAAGCCACCAGGATCAATGAAAGATACGATCTCGCCATCCACACGTATGAGACTCTGCGTCCAGGGGTGCTGGAATAGGAGAACTCGGGCAAGACGGGCGTCGTTACGCCAGACACATCGCGCAACAGAACGAGAAATCATAGCCCGAGAGGTCAGTGATGATGGTGCAGCACGGCAGATGGCATTGCGTGCAAGAAGCCCAGCAGCTTGCCGGACAGCGGTAGCAGCAGCAAGCATGCGCGGCGGGTCGAAAGCGAGATCCTCAATGCCCACCTGGGATTCCATGTGGGAGACTAGCTGAGCGTAAATCTTGTCTTTGTACACCCAACGCGGGAGGGGCCTCTGTCGTTTCGTTCTGGAGTGATCCCGTGGGCGCCAGACGACCGCCAGGGGCGAGTGGTCAGAAATGCCCCGATGGGCCAACTCATGAGGTTCATCACGGACCGATACTAGCTGAGCAGTTTGACACAGGAGCCATGGCGGTGAGGCGACAAAGAGACGATCAATTTTGGACTCGCATGCAGTCGAGGCGTGCCAGTGGGTTGGCGCCTCCGAGGCGAGCTCCGTCATCTCCCTGAAGATCTTCAGCCAGCTCGAGTCGCCAGGACGGGACGCCCGAGTAGAGCCAACCCGCAGGGTGGAGTCTCCCCGCTGGGCACCATCAGTCTGCGACGAAGCAGGTGTGGCCTGCCTCCCCTGTGAAGCCCCCGTCGACGCGGTACTGGGGGAGGCTGCGGGTGGTTGGGAGGATGCAGGAGACGAAGCCGAAGAAGAGGACGGACTCGGAGAACATGACCCAGAAGGTGGTGTGCAGGTGGCCGGTGTTGTCCTCGATGCCGCCGAACTCGGAGTGCATGTGGCCGTGGGGTGGTGACTTTGCAGGGCTGAATCCTGCCCCCCACGGCCTGACGAACATGGAGTACTGGTGTGATCCTCTCCCCGATGGTGCTCGATGGGCTTCGCAGGAATGTTGAAGTCGCCCGTGAGGATCACCGTGTACTTCAGCGGATCATCGCGCACTCGCCGAAGCTGAGATTTTATACATGCTTGGATCTCCTTCAGGCCAGCAGCGTCGATGGCAAAATTGTGCACGTTCCAGTGGTAGATGGTGAAGTCGACCACTGAATTATGGATAGTGACCAGAAGAACCCGACCAGCGACAAAGCTCTTACCCTTGGCTCGAACGCGTGGGTCCTTGGGAACGAGTGTGGCGACGCCTCCCGTCCGCGGCATCTCAGACTCAGAAACGAGGCATGAATGCGAAGTACAGTGAATCCTCTGAAGAGCTTCCTCCATAGCATATTCACCACCGTGGATCTCCTGTATCGCCACTACTTTTCCAGCACCCAACAGTTTGCTCAGATAGCTGAGCTTCCTGCTCAAAATCGCTGGTCTGTAGTGTAACAGGGCCCCTGAGTTCCAGGTCGTGAAAGCTAGAAATCCCACGCCGAACATCTCGTTACCCACTCCACCGTACTTCACGTGTGTCGAAGACCTGGCGAGCCAGCTCATTGGCCTCCTCCCTGGACAAGCAATTGTCGGCGAGTGCAGAGAGGTTCCATTCCACTTTCGGCGTTCTGCTCGCAGGTAGTGGGAGCACTCGCACCAAGGGCTCCCACTTGGCCATGAGTTGACCATTATCCTTGTCGAGGAAAGTGCGGATGCCACGGTCGGCGAGACACCTCTGCAGCTTCTTACATGCAATTTCTGTGGAAACCATCTTCTTGTTCTTGTCCGCGGAAATATGGATCGGTACTGACTCAGTGCCCACGTCAACCTGGAATGCGCGCCATGACCCATTTGGCAGACGGAGCTGCTGCTGGGCCTGACTCCTTCTCGAAGAACGGGTAGCTTCCATGGGGCCTTGAAATGCGAGAGTGAAGGATTTGGCGACATCATCTCCGTGAAGCTCCACTCCATCCCCGAGAGGGACATTCGCTTCGGAGAGCCAAGGAGCCAATGCCGCCGCCACAGCGTTCTTGGCGACAGCCGATGATGCCCGCACTGTGAGGATGGTGAGATCCACATCCCTGTCCCACTCTGGATTCGGAACAACAGGAGGACGTGGCTTCGTCTTTGCGAGGTCCAGCTCTTTCTCCAAGTGCGATAGACGATGAGCGAGGCCCGCCACGGTGCTGTCGAGAAGGTCTGAACGCGCACGCTGTGCATGGACCTCCCCATCAACACGTCGAAGCTGCTGATTGAAGCGCTCCTCATACTTTTCCATGAGCGGTACTGTGGCCGCGCTGAGCGCGGCAGGAAGCTGGGCCAGGATGGTCTCCATCGCCTTCTGTGTGAAGGCCTGCATGGCCTCCGCCTGAAAAGAGTCCGCAGATTGGGCAACACTGCTGCCTCCATCATGTGGCGTGGTTCCATTGGACATAGCTGCCGTAGCCCAGGGATCAGGCGCACGGCCTTCAGCGGGGGTGCCAGGAGTCGCCCACGGCCTCGAAGCTGGTGGAGTCGGCCATGGGGACGGAGAGGGCGAGGCCTTCGCACCCCCAGCTGGGACTTGCCCTTCGTCGGCTGGGATGGGGGTGGCGATGCCGAAATGCTGCGTACCACAAGAGCTGTCGACGATGACGGGAGAGGCGCCACGGCCAGCACTGCGGGACCGCCGAGAGCCCTCCGCCGATGCGTCACTGGCGGCGGGGAGGTATCGGTCCCGCGTCCGAATGCGATCACGCTCACGGATGTCAGGAGCACCGTGAGAATCCCGAAGATCACGCAGCCGCGCCGATGGAGAAGAGGCACGTGGAGTGGACGAGGCAGAACGTGATGAGGCCGTCGGCGCCCGTCGCTCCTCCTTTGCCTTGCGGGACTTCCGTTCATGACGACTGCCGCCCATGGGCACCTGCAGGCACTAAGAGCGGCGAGACTCAAGACGGCAGCGCGGAGCTCCCCGCCCAGGTCCTGAGAGAGGGTGTCGGGCTGAACAGCCCTGGCACTGCCGCGGACTAGCGGTATCCACTTGTTCCCCTGCGGAACTCAACATCTTGAGCCAAAATGGCTACGGAGGAGGAGGGGGAGGAGGAGGAGGAGGAGGTGGATGAGGAGGAGGAGGAGGAGGAGGAGGAGAACGCGGGGCGACGTCTCTTCAAAACGAGGACCCAACACCACAGGATGGTTGGGAAAAAAAGGAGGGAGGAGGCAGGAAAGGGGAGGGAAAAGGGAGGAGGGAGAAGAGGGAAAGGGGATAGGCCAGAGAGGCATAAGGATGAGGGAAGCGAGGGGGGAGAGAAAAGGGAGGGGAGGAGGGAGGAGGGAGGAGGGAGAGCGAGGAGGAGCAGGAAGGTGAGAGCGTGAACGTTCGAGGAATTCCTAAACGAAAGCGCCGTTCCTGAAGGAAGTCTCGGGCGGGAGCCCACGACGGGCGGGCGATCCCCTGACGGGCGGGTCGGGCGGGTGGGACATTCAAGCGAGATGCCTGAGTATGGCGAGAACGCGATTCCTAAGTAAATTGTGAAGGCGTCGTTGGCGCAGCGTGTTTCATGAACGTCGAAACGCGATTTCTGAATAAATTGCATGGGGGTCACAATTACGGGTTCTCTGGCGGGAGCAAGTGTCTTTATTCCATTGCGAGGAAGTGCTGACTCAACTTGGGAAGGAGTCTCAAGCGGGAGCGCCGTTCCTGAGTAAATCGTGAAGAAGTCTTAAATGGGAGCGGGGGTCCTGAGTAAATTGCGAGGGCGTCACAGGCGGGACCGCCGATCCTGAATAAATTGCGAGGGCGTCTCAAGCGGGAGCGGGGGGCCTGAGTGCGCTTGGAAGAACTCTCCGGCGGGAGCCGGTGTTGTTGTAATCTGGGGGGCTCGGGGCAAAGTTTGAACAGGAAGACTTTCCCTGTCCAAAAACAAGGTGCGAGCGTCGAGGAGCACACTTTGATTGAGAAAGAACAGCATGCACCAGTGATGGACATCACAACAACAAAAGCAGCATCAACACCAACAAACACACAAACGCAGCACCACCAACAACAACAACAGCAGCACTAACAGCAACAACAACAACGCAGCCGAAAACAATACCAACTACAAAACAATCAATTACAACAACATCAACGGCAACGACAATGCCAACAACCATAACCACAGCAAGCCCGACACCAACGGCAACAACAACAATCCGCACCGCAGAACCTCACGTCAGCCACGCGCCCAGGGACAGTGAATGACCGCTCGGCCCCCGCACTCTGATCATCATATCATTAAGTACAGCACCAACTTTCTTAACACCTCTCCGTGGGCGCAAGAGACGGATGCAACCTTCCAGGTCGGACAAGCCTTGCGCGGTCGCTGCGCTCGCTCCCTTAGAGCCGCTTGGTGCGGGACTAACCGCAAGCAGGCCCCGGGCCCCTCTCGCGCGCACCGGGCACAATCGGTCACCGATGTCCTCGACGCCTTCAGGGGTCACGAGGCCGCCGATGTCATTAACGCCGAGCCGCGAGTGTCTCGGCTGTCCTGCCTGCTACGTTGCTTATGGTGGCCACCACTCATGTCCCCGTCGTGGATCAAATAGGGCCTGGCTCGGCGCTCCTTGCTCTGGCGCTTCAATCCAGTTCCGCGCAGCCTCCTGAGCCCCTGGGTCGCTCGGGCTCAGTGCTGGCGTCGGCCCGCGCGTCGTGGCTTCCACGCGTAGTTGCTCTACGTCCTGAGCCTGCTTCTTGTTCGGGATCTCGCCCTTGCCGATCAGCCTGGACGCCGAGTCATCCTGGGCCCTGGCCACTGCGAGCCACCTGGCTCGGAAGATCGCCTGCGCGTTCACCGCGCGAAACGTCATCGGCAACTTGCGCCTCGCTCCTCTGTCCGTCGTCGAACGCATTACTCTGCCGTGCACTGGTACTCCACATCTGGCCGTTGCTTCAAGCGCGTCCTTCGGAGCGAGTCTCGCCGCTACCTTGCCCGGGCTCTTGCGAAAGAGCGTCTTCCCGCGGCATCCGCGGACGCAGACTTACACAGAAACCGCCACTGTGACCTTCAACAACAACGTGGACTCTTCGTCGCCGTTGTACGCCAGCGCGGGGCAAACGGCCGCGCAGCCACCCGCAGACCTGCGCGCGTGACGCTCCAGCAGCCGGCGCCGCAGATATTGAAACTGCAACTGCGCTCAAGCCCTGGAACCTCAGGTTGAGGGAGCTGCCGTGCGCTAAGATCTCCAGCCACTCGCCGTTCTGCGTCAGGGTGCCCGCCGTCGCATCACCCGCGTGCTCCTTCAGCAGCTGGAACGCTCGAAGTCGCACTCGAGGGCGTCACCTTGCCCGCGCCGGCTCTCTGGCACATTCACCTTCCAGCTGCGCTGTCGCTATAGATATGCAACTCGCTTGGATTCTGCGTCTCGATGAGGTAGATGCAGCACTGGAGTCCTCTCGCTGTCGCACTGCCGACCGCGTGCATCTCGGACTCCCGTACCCAGTGCCATCGAACTCTGTGCCGCAGTCTCCAGTGCGTTCGCCATGCCGGATATTTCCGCCACTTGTGTGCCTTCTCTATGACTTCTCCAAGCGATAAGTTCTTTCCGGGGTGTTGTGGAGCTGATTGCGCCACGCAAGTACTGGCTCCCCCTCGTCCCAGCCGCTGCACCCTCGAGAACCTCAGGACGCTGGGGTTCGACGCGTGCTGCATCCCCATCATGCTCGCGCATGTCGTCTCTGGCCTGTCAGATGACAAGCGCAAAGCCGCACGACCTGCGCCAGCTGCATCTCTCACGCGCTTCTTCGAGAGTAGGTCCGAGCCCTCACTTTTACCTTGTTTAGTGGCCTTCGTGCCCGGAGTAGGTGCTGGCAAGCTGCATCTTTTATGACGCAGTGTACCAAGAAATCCACGTGCCTCGGATCCGCCGTCCAGACGAACCCAGGCTCCTCCGTCTCAGGCAACGTGTCGGCGTAACCAATGATTTTCTTGAGGTGCCGCGTCTGTTCTGGCTGCCCTGGCCATTCCTCGCGCTGGTCGTGACCTCGAACTGATGGCTCAAAAGTCAGTATGACTTGTCGAGTTGCTCGTCGTAGCCTTCTGCCAGGAAGTCGTAGCCATGGCGCGTCGCCGCAGCGTCTCCATCATCTGCCAAAACACCTGGGGTCGCTGGCAAGCAGAACGCAATTGAAGTCCCAGCTGAGCACCCCCAGCGTCCGTCGTCAACCGCAATCCTGCAAAACTCACCCCACATCTTGGAAGCGATCCCGGTGCCATTTGCCGCCTTCAGCAATAAGCAGCTCCGTCCTGGTCGGCAGAGCTCCCGACCTGGATCAGCGCACATCGCCGCTTCCAAATCGGTTTTGAAGAACGCCTTCCGCCCGTCCCAGAATTTCGCTTTTCGTTTGTGCTGTTCCGCCGATGCGGGGCTAGAGGCTGCCCGGCTGGGCATCGACCGCGCTACCATCAGGGGTGGTGTCCCTTGGTGGTTATTCTCCCAGCCTCGTACTGGTTCACCTGTGGCCACGAACCTCCACCGAACTTTCCGATCCGTCATGCTGGCGATCGGAAACCCTCCGATGTGCTCACCATCGGGGGCCGTGGCCGCGTTCACCTCGACGTGCACGCCATGCTCCTGCATCGCCAGGGATGCAAGTTGTAAGGAAATCAGTGGTTCGACCTTTTCTCTCCGAAACCATTATTCACGCTCCTCGCGGGCGTTCCGTGAAGAGCAGCGGCTTTGAAAGCATTGAAATTAGATCTTCTGAATTTCAATAACTCTCAGCTTGAATCCTTCTGAATTTCAAGAACTCACAGCCTTAATCTTTCTGAATTGCAATAATTCAAAGCTCGTATTTCACTTCAATATCATGAATTACCCTGCTATTTCAATAATTCAGATCCAGAATTTCTGGAATCGCGTTGGATTTCATCACCGTCGTCGCATTTCACAAATCGCACACATTGCCCCCCCCCCAACAAGAAAGCCCATGTGAACAGAGAGCGCGAGCTTACTCACGGCTCGAACCCGCAGATCCGAGCTCCAGCGCAGAACGTCATCTGGCCTATCAGAGGAACAGGGGAAGCGACCGGCCCCTCCCGCGGCGTCGCTGGCGATCTGGGCCGAACGCCGAAGAAGACGACGACGAAGGTTAACGACAGCGACGACGACGAGACGACGACTGACGACACTGACGAATTGACGACTGCGACACTGACAACGACACGACCTACGACTCCTCCTCCTCCTCCTCCTCCTCCTCCTCCTCCTCCTCCTCCTCCTCCTCCTCCTCCTCCTCCTCCTCCTCCTCCTCCTCCCCCTCCTCCTCCTCCTCCTCCTCCTCCTCCTCCTCCTCCTCCTCCTCCCCTCCCCTCCCTTCCCCTCCCTCCCTCCTCCTCCTCCATACTCCTCCTCTCATCCTTCTCAGTTCTCCTCTCCCCCTCCTCCTCTCCTCCTCCCCCTCCTCCTCCTCCTCCTCCTCCGCCTCCTCCTCTCCTCCCTCCTCCATTCCTCCATCCTCAAACCCTTGGTCGGCACTCGACTCGAGGGCTCGAGGGCAAGTCGAAGCCCCCAGGGCCCCTCGTGACCCCATGAGCCTCGGAGGAGGAGAGCAGGGTCAGGATGAAGTGAAGGAGGAGGGGGGAGGTGGAGAGGAGGAGGAGGAGAGGCGGAGGAGGAGGAGGAGGAGGAGGAGGAGAAGGGAGGAGGAGGAAGAGACTTCTCGAAGCGGCAAGCGCATGTCTCTGAGCCTTCGTGGGTCGAGCGGGCCATCCTGGAGCCTTTGGGCCTTTGGGCAGTTGTTCAGTTGTCATTGTTTTATTGATTGTTTTCGAGCGTCGGCCGCGCCGAGCCAAAACGTGCCTGGAATGCGCCCAGATCGAACTCCTAAGCTATACAGAAAATGAGCGATCGACACTGCTGCAGAGCTGCTGCTGATTTGACATCCTCGTTATCCTCTCCTCCACCTCCGCCTCTTCTCCCCCCTCATCCTCGGCTCCCTAGCAGCGGTGTCGCAAACCCCACGTTGACGCTATCTCTGTTGCTGCTGCTGAAGCTCAGGGCTCGCGCGCTCGAAACTGTCTGCGAAACAAACTTGGCGACTTGTCGCTTCGGCCGCTTCGGCGGTGGCCGCCGGCCGCCGCGTTGCCGCCACTAGGCCCGGGCGACGGCTGGCGACGGCATCGGAAGAGTCGGAAGAGAGAGATGAGCGAGAAAGGGAGGGAGGGAGGAGGAGAGCCCCTCTCAGAGCCCCGCCTCGCTAGATGTCTGGATGCTCGTTCGCACGCTCGCTAATCGGCGCTACCCCGACGCCGCGCGTTCGAGTCGAGTCGAGCTCAGTATGTACAGGGCTCCAAGAGGCCAGAGTCCGCGTCCTGGCATCCTCCTCACTCCTCCCTCCATCCTTCCACCCTTCTTCCTCCTCCTCTCCTCCTCTCCTCCTCTCCTCCTCTCCCCCTGCCTTATTTAGCTAGCAGAGGGCGGCGCCGAGCCGCATCGCGACCTCACGACAGGAGGTGCTTGCAGGATAGCTGCACGTCGGTGTGGGACGGCTTGGAGGCCTTCGCCTTGGGCGCTGGCTTGCGCTCCCTGGCTTTCACGACGAGCGACTTCGCCCACGCATCCGAGACCTCGCACAACTCAGCCTTCATGGGCGCGCGGATCATCTCCACGCTGCCAGCCTCCACCTCCGAGGCGAACTCTTGTTTCAGCACGACGTAAAAGTGCTTGATGTCGAACTTCACCAACTTCCCAGGAGCGCCCAGAAACCCAGGAACTTCGTACTCGACGCTGATCTTCTTCTCGTGCACCTCGCAAGTCGGTGTCTCCAAGGGAAAGCCGTCTCCATTGAGTTTGCAAGTCCTGACCAGCCACGCTGGCATGAAGAACGTGCCTGTGAGGACTCTCAGGGCAGGAGGGTGGAGGTACATGTTCACGTTGAACAGAGTGCCGACATGGATGGATCCCACCGCCGGTAGGAGGGGCAACTTCCCCGCGAAGGTCAAGCGAATGGTCTTCTTGGGCGGCGACGCGAACAAGTGCGCATCCCCAGCGGCAACCTTCGAGTGCTCCGTGTAGAGGCAGTCCCACGCTTGATCCGCAAAGGAGCCGCAGATCGCCGCAGTCATGAGGCTCGACTCAGCTTTGCTCAGCGCTAGCATGATGTAAGTCGGCATGAACTGCGCGTGCGGGTCCTCGCCCTGCGGGAGCTGCTGGAGGACAGCCTGGGCGAACTCTGCGTGGATAGATGCCACGGAAACGTGCTGGTCAGTCTTCTGCCTCTTCTGAGATGGCTCCGACTTGTCGCCATCTCCCACCGCGACGACGCTCGTCTCCTCCTGGGCCTTTGCCGCTCTCACCTCGGCTAGCTTCTTCTCCTTGGCTGCAGCAATGGCCTCGGTGTGGAGCTGCGTCGCCCTGGCACCCAACTCCGATAGCATCCTTTTGGCCCGTTCATCTGCAAACTGCTGTGCCTTCTTGATGTCGGGACAGCGGAGGAGCGCCTGCCAGAAACTCGACCAGCTTGCCGAATCTGACTCGCTCGACCAATGCAGCCACACATCGACGTTGCTGATGAGCTCTGCAAGGTTGGCATCGCCCGACATCTTGGACAGCAGGTGAGAGTCGTGCTGGCTCACGAAGGAGGCGAACTTGGGTAGCCCAGCGATCATCATGGTGGCACGGAAGTTACTGACGGCGTCGAGGTATCGCTGATCATTTCCCCAAATTTCTGGTATCGCATAGTCTGGCACTGTGGTCACCGTGGTCACCTCCTCCTCCTTGGCGCATTCGCAGAGCTGCATCAGCCCCTCCAAATGCAGGAAGACGCCACCGTCATTCTTGAAAGCGGTCGCGCAGCACTCAATCAGGGCAGAGATGTCTAGGCGCTTGGTCGTGACGTCGAGCTTCGGCTTGATGACCTTGAGCACCCTCTGGGACCACTGAACGAAGTAGTCCCGGAGATCCACAGGCAGGTCTAGGTCACACGAGTCCACGAAGCTGCGCACGGCTGCCTCGGCGGCAGGCAGCGGCAAACCCTTGCCCTCTTTACTTCCTCCTCTACTCAGCCTCTCCTCCTCCTTCTCCTCCTCAGCCTCCTCCTCCTCCTCCTCCTCCCCTTCTCCTCCTCCTCCTCCTCCTCCTCCTCCTCCTCCTCCTCTCCTCCTCCTACTACTCCTCCTCTCCTCCCTCCTCCTCTCCTCCTCATCCTCCTCCACCTCTTCCTCCTTCTCCTTCGTGCTCCTGTCCTCTCCTCGCCTCCTCACTCGCTAGCTGTCTTGTGGTCTTAGCAGGTCTAAGGTTCTCAGATGTTCCTAAACCTTCAGAAGGATGGCCACGAGACTGCTCCAAGAGCTCCAAGAGTCGAAGGGTCCAAGGGCCCCCCCCCACCTATCCCACCCCCACCCCAGAGGCCCCAGACTGCCAAAGGGCCCGTTGCGTGCCCTCTCTTGCCCTCTCGCGCGCCTTGACCTCCTCCTTTGACACGGACTCCGTGAACTTGGCTCTGTAGTGCATGATGAGCAGGTCCTTACCATCAGGCACGTTCAGGTCCTTCAGGTCGATGTCGACGTCAACATCGCCGCTGTTGCCGCTGCCCTGCGACGATGCTCCCGCCTCCTCCATGTCGACTGGGGAGAGCAAGTCAAGCACGTGACCGTGATGCCGCCTCATGACTCTACGGATCGTGCTTCGCAGCGCAGTCCAGGTCTCGCAGTCGGAAAACAATTGCTCGTTGATAACTTTCGACTTCGCCGCGAAGTGCATGCCGTTCCTGTAGCAATCGCGGAGGGTCTCCACATTGAGCTTCTCGTCGGGAACCTTGCGAACCACTGCGACAACGGCGCTGTAAAGCTCGTCCAAGAACTTCTTCTCGCGGCTTTGTGGCGCCTTCACCTGCGCCCCCGCCGACCCAGTTGCCCCAGTCGCCCCTTCCTCCTCGTCAGAGCCTGCAAACGCCTCGGCCGCCAAGTCAATCTTGGTGCCGATGGTCTCAACCGCCATGTCTGGTTGATCCTCGTCGTCGAGATCCTCGTCGGCGGCGGCCCCGGCGGCCCCCTTCCTTGCTGCCGCCCTTGCAGCTGCCTTTCCCTTTGCCTTTGCCTTCGCCTTGGACTTGGGCCTCCCCTTTGGCTTCGCCTTTGGCTTGAACATCACAGAACCGCCCATGTCAAGCTGAAGTCTCATAATGAAGTCGCCCGTCTGAGCGGAGTCGGCGCAGATCCAAGTGGGGTCATCGTCTGGATCTTCGAAAGACAGCACCTTGGGCACGCAAAACTTGAAGGCCTCGGTCAAGATGATAATCAAATGAAACTCGGGGATAGTCTCACTGAAAGACTTAGTGATCTCTGCAAGCACGTCCCGAATGGAGGCCAGAATCTTCTCAGTGTTCATGCTCGGGTGGCAAAAGTTCACACACGAACACATGGCTTCCAGGAATTGTTTCCCCATTTTGAAGCGATCCAGCCCACTGACGATAACCTTCGAATTCGTGAAGCTGAAGTTGTTCTTCCACACCCCTGGGAACTGTTTGGATACGTGCTTCCAGTATTGTTGCAAATATGTATCAGGACCCGTGGACGGGCAACTTCTTGACGTGATGCGCTTCTCCCTGGCGTAGATCTTCCACGACTTGTCCGCGTCGCCGACGCGGTCCATCGTCTCGAGGAAAGACGTTCCAGCTCCGCGGTGAAAGGCATTGTTCAGCTCCTTCAGGTATATCAGCACGTCGTCGGGCGTCTCCTGGTGGAAGAGCAAGTAGTTGCTGACCCCGTTCGACAAAGACCGCCGCACATACCTGTTGCGCGGTTCCCGCATGAAAGCGACGTATACGGCTTCCACCAGCGTGGCCGAGCTCATGAGAAGATACTTGCCATCATTGGCACCGCTCGGCACAGCCCAGCATTGCCCACGGACGCCAACCATTGCCCCAGTCGCAAGTATTGATCGCACATAAGTCTCACGAGTTGTCGTGTGCTCACGCGCATTGAGCCTGTGCCTCTCGAGCGCCTTGACTTGGTCGGACGCGTTGCGCCCGATGAAGAAAGCCAGCTTGGCACCCTGCGGTGCGATGGTATAGTCCTCGAAGACTCTCTGCTGCAGCAAGTTCCCCTTCAAGCCCGGGTAGCGCACCGATATGCTCTCGCACGGCTCAAACCGGCCGACCATCATCTGAACGTCGGCGTTGGCGTCGGCGTCGTCATCTTCGAACAACGGCGCGAAGGAACCGCCGTCCATCTGAGCCATCTGGCTCGACTTCGGGGATCGGGGCTCCGAGAGGTTGAGTTGAGAAAGAGAGAAAGATAAGAATGCCTGACGCCCAGCCGCCCCCTCCGGAGGGGCCTGAAAACTCCAGCCAAAATGCTTCGGGTTGGATGGTGGCCACAGGGCCTCAAGGACTCAAGGACTGCGCGCCAGCACGCCAGCACTGGCAGGGGCCTGTCCCCCTCCGAGTCCGCTCCTCCTCCTCTCCCTCCTCTCCTCCTCTCCTCCTCTCCTCCCTCCTCCTTCTCATTCTCCTCCTCTGCATTCGTCCTCCCTCCTCCCCTCGGGACTCCTCTCCCTCCCTCCTCCTCCTTCACCCTGCCCTCCTACACTAAGTCACTAAGTCCTAGAGATTGCGGCGGTTCTTGCGTTCTTGAGGCGCGGTGTTTCCTCGAGCGGCATGTGTTGGTATGCGTGCTATGCTTAAGCTTGCTGTGCTATGCTATGCTTTCAACTTACACTGCGAACTTAGGATGAGGATGAGGAAGGAGGGGATTCCTGAGATAGATTCTTGAGCTGCGGGACACGTGACAACTTGTGAGAACTGATTATGTTCGATGGTTTCCACCTCCTGGACTCCTGGACCCTGGTTGCTGCTGCGGCTGCGTATTCACGCGGCGGCTTCGCGGCTTCGCCCGAACGGCAGCCAGCCCCTGAGACAGCGGGCTATGGTCAGCGCGATCAGGCCTCGAAATAGAAAACAACACTTCCAAGGGCAACGCAACGTGGGCAAGTCGCATCTCCGAGGGTCCGAGGGAAGAGTGGAAGCGGGGCCTCACAGGGCCCCCAGGGAAGGAGGCGATGGGGTGGAACAAGTTTTCAGAACGGTGGCCCAAGGGACCTCGGAACCAAAACATCAGTTGGTCTCAGTTGGTTGCAACGTTGCGCACGTTCCGCGTGGGAAATCAACAGCGCGCCGCCCTGTGGCGGCGGCGGCAAGCGTCGTCCGCGTCGGAGTCAACGTCAACGCCGTTCGGGCCCAGCTGAGCTGGCTGCGCGGCAACAGGAGGCGCGGCCGCCGCCGCCGCCCCCGCTCCGGCCGGTTCGATCTCCTGCGGGAGGGCGGGCACCCTCATCAACCCCATACTCCCTTCCTCCCTCTCTCTATCTCTCTCCTCACTCTCTCCCTGCCCCCCCTCTCGCTCTCTCGGTGTCGCTCTCTCGCCTCTCTCTCCCTCTCTCTAACTCTCTCTTACTCTCTTTCTCTCTCTCTCTCTCTCTCTCTCTCTCTCTCTCTCTCTCTCTCTCTCTCTCTCCATCTCTGTTCTCTCTCTCTCTCTGAGGGGCAGGGCGGGCAGGGCGGGCAGGGCCGACGACGACGACGCCGACGACGGCGGAGTCCGTGATGAACAAGTAATTGTACAGCAAGGCCAGGCCGATCATGTGGACGTTCATCGCGTTGCCAGACTGGTGCAACACCTCACTGCGCTTGCGATCGGGGATGTGGAAGTCGTTCCTGTCGCGCGTGAATGACGAGTCACCCTTCGCGCCGAACGGCGCCATCACTGGAAACCCTTGCGCTAGCAACGTTTCCATGGGAGTTACCCAGCGGCCATGGACGGCCGAGAACAACATCGACATGTTCCTGATGAGCGTCGGCAGAACGTTTGTCGTGCCATGGTGTGGCCACACCAAAAAGTTCTGGTTCAGGAAATATGTTTGATCTCCGCCGTATTTCTCCATGTACCCATACAGGTTCACCAGCTCCCAGAGGCTGAGGGCCTCAAGGAGGAGAAGGAAGAGAGGAGGAGAAGGAGGCAGGATGAATTGGAGCAAGGGATAAGATGAGGGAGGATGGAGAGAGGCAGGAGGAAGGAGGAAGAGGAAGGAGGAGAAGGAGGAGGAGGAGGAGGAGGAGGCGAGCGGAGGAGAGGAGGAGAGGATGGCCTTTGTGTATGCAGACCTCCTGTGCAACGACACCAGCTCGTCGACAAGAGCAGTGCCCTTGTTGGCAGCGGCAGTATCGGCGTACTTCAGCATCTTCTTGAGACCGCTGCCACCGTGCTGCCTGCCAGCGGCAAGTGCCGCCCTGAGGCCCTCGTCGGTATGCCTATAGAGTGAGGACGGCCGAGAAGAAGCCCACCGAAGCTCGTCTAGCAACTCCTTCGGCTCAGCAACGAAGAGGTCGCGCCAGGTCAACCCGTCAATGATCCGGGCGGTGGTGGCGGGAGCGATCGCGTCCCAGGGGCGGGAGATGATCAGGTCCTTCTTGATGCCAAGCGTGATCCGGCGCTTGCGTCGCTGAGGCCACCCAAGCTCCTGAGTGTCGAGCACTGTGGTCTGGATGATGTACTTGTCCTCTAAGATCGTCAGCATCAGTGCGGGGTCGAAAGATGGCACGTTCTCGCTCACCCATACCTTGTCGCCCAACCAATACCTGTGGCAAACCCACGCCATTGTACACGCCAACGTTTGGCCGTTGTGCTTCTGTCTCAGGCCTTGGGAACTCCAGTCCTGGCACGGGTGCCCTGCGACGTGAACGTCGGCAGATTCGGCGGCGCAAGAGTAGCTGTCGTGGGTGATGCAATACCCCGTCAGGCTGAAGCCCTTGCCCGACTTGACCAAAACCATGTATTCATCAACCGTGAGCTCGCCTGCAGCTGCCCGCTCGTCATCCCAGAAGTTGTTCATGTCAACGAATATGTGAGCAGGCGGCTCGGCAAGCATGCGAAGCTCCCTGCGCGCTTCCTGCTCGATCTCCACAGCGTACAAGCACGACATCGGACTGCATGGAGTAGACAAGCGACAGCTTACGCAGGATGCGATCGAGCTGACGGCTTGCTCTGGTGCACCAATACCACTGAAAGCTGTCGAAAGGGTTCTGCTCTGTACACAGCTGGCAACCCTCTGGACCGCTGATGCATCGTCGAGCCCGGCAGCAGGGGCGAGCGCGCCTATGGCGCTGCCGACCCAGTTGAAGCAGTCGTTCAAAGTCCGAACACGCTGAGCTGGCGGTCTTATGTGATCGGCGGACCGCTTGCGACTAATGCGGACCCGTCTGCCCTGGTCACCAGCGGCACCAGTGGAAGTTGCAACTGGCAGCTTCATTGCGCAGCGTAGCACCAGCAACAACAAACTGTAGTAAAGGAAGTGCGGCGCAACTGGGCAGTAAGTCACACCTAAAGCCAAAATGGCAATGGCAGCATGAGTGGAGGAGAGCAAAAGAATGGGCGATCTGTGAAGGAGCAGCTCTTCACGCTGATCACCGCAGGCGTCGTGTGGAGAGCCGATTCTCCACGGTCCGTGTGTGCTGAGGTGCGCGTGGAGAATCGATTCTCCACAGCTCATCGTGGGGGGGTTCGCGCGTGGAGAAGCCATTCTCCACAGTGCCATCCCATGATGCGATGTGGAGAGTCGACTCTCCATAGGCACGGATCGCTAAGACGTCTGTGGAGAGCCGATTCTCCACAGCCCATCCTGTAAGGGTTGTCGCGTGGAGATTCCATTCTCCACAGTGCCCTGCTAGTATGAACTGTGGAGAGTCAGCTCTCCACAGGCACTGTTCGCTGAGACGTCTGTGGAGAGCCGATTCTCCACAGCCCGTCCTGGAAGGGTCAGAGCGTGGAGAATCCATTCTCCACAGTACACTCCTAGGGTGGGCTGTGAAGAGTCTGGTCTCCACAGGCACTGAACCCTAAGACGTCTGTGGAGAGTCAAATCTCCGCGGCCCATCCTGGAAGGGTTGGCGCGTGGAGACTCCATTCTCCACAGTGCCCTCCCAGGATGTGCGGTGGAGAGTCGACTCTCCACAGTCACGGATCGCTAAGACGTCTGTGGAGAGCCGATTCTCCACAGCCCATCCTGTAAGGGTTGTCGCGTGGAGATTCCATTCTCCACAGTGCCCTGCTAGGATGAACTGTGGAAAGCCAGCTCTCCACAGGCGCTGTTCGCTGAGACGTCTGTGGAGAGCCGATTCTCCACAGCCCGTCCTGGAAGGGTCAGAGCGTGGAGAATCCAGTCTCCACAGTACCCTCCTAGGGTGGGCTGTGAAGAGTCTGGTCTCCACAGGCACTGAACCCTAAGACGTCTGTGGAGAGTCGAATCTCCACAGCCCATCCTGGAAGGGTTGGCGCGTGGAGACTCCATTCTCCACAGTGCCCTCCCAGGATGGGCTGTGGAGAGTCGACTCTCCACAGGCACGGATCGCTAAGACGTCCGTGGAGAGCCGATTCTCCACAGCTCATCCTGTAAGGGTTGTCACGTGGAGATTCAATTCTCCACAATGCCCTGCTAGGATGAGCTGTGGAGAGTCGATTCTCCACAGGCACGGATTGCTAAGACGTCTGTGGAGAGCCGATTCTCTACAGCCCATCCTGGAAGGGTTGACGCGTGGAGACTCCATTCTCCACAGTGCCCTCCTAAGATGAGCTGTGGAGAGCGGGTTCTCCACACTCAATGCTTGTCATGGCATCTGTGAAGAGTCGAGTCTCCACAGATCATACTGCGAGGGTTTGCGTGTGGAGACTCCACAGTCGTGGTAAACCAATCGATTTGATTATTCGCGTGCACCTCCAATCAGATTATAACACCCATTGTGGTACTCATCACGCCCCCTTCACAACTCTACTACTCGTCATCCTATCATGTTGATATCCTGTCATCCTCTCCTAAACTCCTTGTTCCACTTCACTGTCCGCTCTTCTATCCCGCGCCCGAGGCATCTGCAGCGGCTGCGCTGCCGGACCGGGCAGCCAACGCCGCGCGGTGGGAAGGGGTTGGTGAACATGCAATCTCTTCGTCCTCCTCCTCCTCATCATCATCATCCGCCTCCTCCTTCCTCCTCCCCTCCTCCTCTCCTCCTCCTCCTCCTCCTCCTCCTCCTCCTCCTCCTCCTCCTCCTCCTCCTCCTGATTATTTTTCCTTCCGCTCCCTCCTTATGATTCTCCTTCTCTCCGCCTCCTCCTCCTCTCCAACTGCTCTCCGACGCCAGCCTGCCCGCCGTCGTCGTCGCGGCCAGGCCTTGGTTGAGCATCCATCCTGTCCCATCCAGTCGAAGCGCCGAAACGAAGAACCCGGGGTCTCTGTCACTCACGCCCGACGCCGCAAAGCATCGGCGGCATCTACGTTGGCAGGAAGGAACGAGGCAGGGTCTGGACTCAGGATGGTTGCGCATCCAACGCTCTGCCCCAGACCCTTGCGATGATGGGTAACGGCGGTCGATCGATCGACGTGACGGCGATGGCGGCGATGGCGATGCGATGGCGATGACGGCGATGACGCGATGACCTGACGATGACGAGGTGACGATGTGACGATGTGACGATTGGTGATGGCGACGCCGATGTTGACGATGCGGCGGACCGAATCTCATCTCCCCGTGCGAACAAACGCTGTCCGAACCGAACGTTCGAACTATCCTACTTGTGTACTTGAGTCTGTACATACACGAACAAAACGATGGCCCCCTTGGAACTCAAGGGCTCTAAGATGGCTCCAGGGGCTGAGGCAGGCACATTCTGCTTGGAGATTCCAGCGAGTCAGACCAGCGCGGCGCGACCCGCAGCGACGTGCCTGGCTGTGCAAAGCGGCTTTTCAAAGCGTGAATTGGTGAATTGGCAGCGGCGGTATCGCCAAATCAAGACAGACCCCATATCCCTCCCCTTCCTTCCTATCCTCCTGGTCTCTCCTCCCCTTCCCTCCCTCCTCCTTGGAGTCCTTGGAGCCACTAAGGCTCAATCTAAAACAGGCGTGAGATCGCAAGTCTCACTCACGCGCCGCCCAAGCCGCTCACGATCCGCCTCTTGAGTGGGCGCTTCGGCGACGGCGGCGGGCTCATGCACCTGTTCGGAGCCTGCACGGCCTGCGCGGCCTGCACGGCCTGCTCGGCCTCGACGGCCTGGAAGTCCCAGCTCCAGTCGTCCTCGCTCTCCGCGGCCTGGTCCTCGTCAACGCCGAAGTCCCAGCTCCAGTCGCTGTAGCTGTCCAAGCAAGCCGAGCTGTCCGAGCAAGCGCAGTCGTCGACGCCGAAGTCCTTGTCCGAGCTGGCGCAGTCGTCGTCGCCCGAATGCTCTCAGCGGTCGAAATCTTTTGGATAACGCATCGCCCGAGGCTCCAGGATAGCGTGGCTTATGAACGGCCCAGGACAAGGACGTTGGACCAGGGACCCTCCAGGGATGGTGTCAGCACGTCGCACCCGACCGGGACGGGGGTGCCAACGGGGTCACGAGGCGTTACGTTATCCAACAGTTATCGACCGTAGGATCTAAGCAGCTGCTCAAACTGCTCCTCCTCCGTGAAAGCGAGGCCCCACTGGGGGTGGTATTCGGCGAAGTCCTCGTCGTCGGATTCGTGCCCCTCGCCCTTGCCGTACTCGTCGTCGGCGTTGTAGTCCTCGTAGTACTCGTCCTCGGCGTTGTAGTCCTCGGCGTAGAGGCCCTCTGAGAAGCCGAGGTGGTAGAAGTGCCCTGCGAGGCAGCCGTCCTGGAAGCCTTCCTCGTAGCCCTTGTTCTCGCCTGCGGCGTAGCCCTCGGCGTAGCCCTTGTCGTACTCGCCGTACTCGTCGTACTCCCCGGAGGCGTCCCTGTTGCTGCGGCTGTCGCTGTAGTCGTCATGGTCGACATAGCTGTCGAAGTGAGCGGCCCAAGAGACCGCTAAAGCAGACGAGACCATCTGCCGCGTGGTCTGCCGCCGCGGAGGGCGAGTCTAAACCGCCCTGGGAGCCCAAATGGCTACGGCGACGGCGACGAGCGCTCCTCCTCTCATCCTGTTCCTCCGCTCCTCCTATACCCCCTCTACCTCACTTCTCCCACCACCTCCTGCTGCTCCCCCACCCCCTCCTCATCCTCCTCTTTCGTCGTGTCCTCCTCTCTCCTCGTGTCCTCCTCGTCCTCCTCCTCCTCCTCCTCCTCCTCCTCCTCCTCCTCTCCTCCTCCTCCTGCTCCGTACCTCGACTGGGGATACTTCGGAATCGAGCCGTCGAGGGCGGGTAGGGCGAAGATTGAAGACCTCCTCGTCCTCTAGCCTCCTCCTACAACCCAGGACCCAGGAGGAGGAGGGGAGGAGAGAGGAATAGCGGCAATAGCGGCTGTCTCCGCTGCAATGCGCTGCCGATGCAACGAACCCTGCCGCGCGAGAAAGCGAAGCGGCGCCGTGCGTCCGCGCGCAGCCGCGCTGCTTGCTCTGATCGGGTGCAGACTTGGCCTCTTGTTCTCCTGCAGCTCTCCTCCTCTCCCCCTCCATATCAGTCCTCCTCATCCCATTATCTCCTTCTCGCCTCCTCCTCGGCTCGACGGCCCAACCGGCTCAAGTCTCTGGCCGCCGCGCCACCCCGCTAAAGCAGGTGCGCGACGCACGCGGGGCAAAGTGACCCTGGCCCCTCTCTCATCCGAACCAGGAAACTGCTTACCAACTCCGTGGCGCGGGGCGGAGCTGCCCTAGCGCCATCTAGCGCGAGTTCATCGCAGCATGATTTGTGCGATGCGAGCCTACACAGCGGGCAGATCATCACAGGTACCTCCGCACGGTGGCGTTCGCAGATGAAGCATTGCCCAATGTCGTCTACGCTTCTGTAGCCGCCCCCATATCCGAGACTAAACGCGCGGTGCAAATGGATGGCGGGCTGTGGCATAAGGGGGCGGCCCTTGGCTTTCTCCTTGATCATGTTCACGCCCAGCGCAGGGTGCAGCATCTCTGTGCCCTCCCCAACGAAATGTCTCGTGGGGTGATACGTTTGCACACTCCAAATCACTCGAGAGTGCGCGTCCAGGGAGGCTGTCTGTCCGCGCATGGTGCCAACGTCCCATAGTTTGACGTAGCCGACTGTGGAGGTGGCCCCGCCCGCCTCAGTCGCGACGCCGAACTTCATGAGGCACATTTGATCATCCCGCGGGTCCTGACCGACGTGGTCCTGCCAGAACTGGAGCGCAGCAACTCCATCCACCGCGTTGCCCGCCCATAAGGCGATCTTCGCGCCGTCAGTGGAGTCCCCGGGGCCCACTGGCGCGTCGTCGCCCTCGGGCTCCTCCAGAAGGGCCTCCTCGACGACGTGGGGTGAAAGGCTTGCTGCGTCTGGCATGTCCGTGTGCAGTGCTTCTACTGCCGCCTTGTCCCTGTCATCAAAGGCTTCGATGAGCGCGGCGTCATCGGGGGTCTGATCCAAGTCCTCCTCCTCCGCATCGCCCAGGTGGTCGTGCTTGCCCAGCGCCGCCTCCAAGACAAAAGCCCTCCGCTCATCTGAGAGGTCGCCCCAATCGTCCATGGCCTCAAGGACGTCGCCCGCAGGCTCAGGCGCCGCGCCAACGGCGGCGCCGCTGGCAGCGCTCGCATACGGCTTAGCAGGCTTTGCGGTAGCAGCTGCTGAACCTGAACCTGCTGGGCGCGGCTTCGGCGGGGGCGGGGGCACCCGTTCCATGAACAGCACGTCGGACATCTCCTCCGCCGCGAGCGCAGCAGAGCCGCCGTCGACGAACGTCACCCTGCTGTACCAGACGTGGAATGCCTCCTCTGGACAGGCGAGAGCCTGCGATAGGAAATCTGCGATGACGTCCTGTGCGCGAGTGGTCGTCAGAGGCCTGCGCAGAGCCATCGTCGCACCACTGGTCACTACGTCAAGCTGGACCAGGAGCCCAGTGTAGCCGATTGTCCGAGGGCATAACCAAACGGTAGACGAGTAGAGGCTGTTGGTCTCGCCGTCGTCCGCCTTGGAATCGGCCCTGAGGCCGAAGCAGCCAGCTGTGGGCAGTTCGCTGTTGCTCAGCAGAACATCGCGAGCCTCTTTCCACCTGCGAAACCACTGCAAGTTCAAACGACCAACATCCCATTCAGTGCCGACGTCGTCCGCGCCGCCGTCGGCCAAGGCCACGGCTGGACTCGCTGGACTCCGCCTCGGCTCGTCTGGGTCCGAGTCCGAGTCGCCCATCCCGGGGTCGGCTGGAGCGGCCAGCGCCGCGTCTGGCAGCGGAACCAGCGCCTGCGGGAGGTTGTATCAAACGGCCCCGCGACCTCCCCGAAAAGGAGAAGGGAAGGAGGACGAGAGGGAGGACGAGGTAGGAGGAGGAGGTGAGGGAGAGGAGGAGGGGGGGGGGAGGAGGGAGTGGAGGAGGAAGGGGAGGAGGGGAGGAGGAGGAGGGCGAGGGGGCGAGGAGGAGGAGGGGGAAAGAGGGAAAGAGGACGCTCCTCCCCCTCCTCCTCCACCTCCTTTACCCGCATTTTCCCTGACTCCTCATCTCCTCATCTCCTCATCCCTCTTCCCTCATCCTCCTTCATCCTCTCCTCCTCCTCCTCCTCCTCCTCCTCCTCCTCCTCCTCCTCCCCCCCCTCCTCCTCCTCTCCTCCTCCTCCTCTCTTGCTCTTCCTGCCGCCTGCTGCTCGACGTCGTCAGCGAGGGCAGCCGGCGCGGCTGGGGCAGGCAGCGCCAGGACAGGGACGTCGGGTATGTAGCGCGGGTCCCAGCGACCAGCACTTCCCAGCACCTGGTTCATCCCGCTCCCGAACTCCTCTACAGCCGCACTCCGGATGTCAGCAAGCAGGGGGAGCAAGTTCTTCCACTTAGTGACGCTGGTTCCGGGCGGGCGGCACGCGTGCATCAGCTTAGCTGCGCAGCACCTTGCCGACAGCAGCGGGAGCTCGATGCGGGGCGCCACCTGGGTTTGCGCCTGAGAGGAAGAGAAGGGCGGAGTGGGGGAGGGGGAGGGGAGGGAGGAGGAGGGAGAGGGGGAGGGGGAGGAGGAGGGGGAGGGAAGAGGAGGAGAAGGAGGAGAAGAGGAGGAGAGGAGGAGGAGGAAGAGGAAGAGGATGAGGAGGAGAGAGGAGAGGGAGGAGGAGAAGAGGAGAGGAGGCTGAAGCATGAGAACAAGAGGAATGAGGAGGATGAGTGATGATGAGGGTAAGGAGGTCGCGCCTTTACGATGGAGTTGAAGCCCTCCACCTCCTGGCTGTCGCAGAGCCACAGCTCGCTCAGGACCTTCACCATCTTCCAGATGGTGTCGGGCATGACGCCGGTGACAGCGATGTCATCAAGTACAGGTCTACCCACGTGCGCGGCGAACTTCGCAGTGGCCCAGTCAAGGGACCCAGCAGCCCATTGCCCAACGAGCTCAGAGACGAGACGGGCCCTATCTGTAGAAGCCGAGCGTGCAGCGTCCTTGACCAAGAGCAACAGCTTGAAAGGCCAGCTGCGCAGGTGGGTCATCACGCGGAAGTCGAACTCCGCCGCTGCCGATACAAGCAAATACACAAAGGAGGGTTGTACTTTCCGAACTGTCCCAATCGGAAGGTCGTCGATGAAAGAACACCAGTCGGCCGTCTCGAACGACGCGTCGGCCATGGCGCTGTACTCAGCCATGATGGCGGCGCCCTTGCTCCAGACGAGCTGCGCAAGCGAGCCCGACCCAGTCTCCTTCACATACATCTTATGGTGTTGAAGCACGCGCCTGAAATGATCGAGCGGGCTAGATACCAGACGCGAGAGCCGCATGCAAATCAAGAAGGGGACGTCGTTGAGTGCAGTCGTGGCGTCGGCGCCCCATTTTGACATTGTTGCAGAGTAGGCCTTGCTGCTCTCGATCCCCAGCTCGTCGACGGCCATGACCACTTCCATAGCTTTGCCAATAGGGTCGGGGTTGGTGGAACTCTGCGCCTGCGCCTTCTTGAGTCGGGCCCGCGCCTTCTTATCAAGAACGGCAGTCATGGAATTCACGAACTGGCGCCAACAACCGCTGTCCATGATGGTGCATAGACGTCTCTCGCTCGTGAGTTTCGACCCCCATCGCCCAGCTATGCAACGAGGCGCTAGATGGCTGGCGTGCTCAAACGCATTCGCTGCCTCTCCTGGTTGGCAAGACCAATGTGTATAGAGCAATGCGCCGTACTCCCGCCAACAATTCATGATTTTCTGGAGCGCTGAGAAGTATTTCACCTGAGAACCCAGAAATTCCATGCAGTACTGAAGTCCTACGCACTGGTGCCCATCGACCAAATGGCCTTGATGTTGGAAGCAGTTTACTTCCAGATAGACAAGGCCAGGAACTTCCTCGCACGCCACTTTAATCCGACGCCGCACAGCCCGAATGTCGCCGCCTGCATCCGTGCACGCAATGAAGAATCGGAGCGTGCCTTCTGGTGCGGGAGACACCCACGTGGGGCATCCAATCGAATCCATTTGTTTTACCATGACACACATCAGGTACTCCCAGGCGGTACCTGCCTGAAGAACTTGCAAATCACAATACCTCAGCAGTGAATGTCTCGCGTCGTTGTCAAGCGCAAGGTAAGTCGACCCGACCTCGACCGCATGCAATTTGCATTTCTGCCAAACAAGTCCATTCGTTGCATCTGCGCGAATTACGTGGTACGCGGCTGCGTGACCGAGCATCTTCAATTCATTCTCATTGGTGTGGTGAAACCGTCTGGCCCACGATATAGTGCAAGCGTCCAGCCAGATTTCCCAGTTCGTCACTGATTGCCGCGATAGGTCGATGCCGAATGCTAAACCTGCCCTATTGGCAGACACGCCCGACGCGATCCTCCTGAGCGCAACCGATAAGCCCTGCCACGGCGTCATGCGTTTGAGACCATCCCTTAACGTAGCTTGCGCCAACTGCGTTTCCAGCTCCTTTATCTTCTGCTGCTGGTTGACAAGCTGAATCTGCAGCCGCCGACGCTTGCGGCGATGGTTGTACTCGACTACCGCCGTCTCCGCAGGCGCAATCACTGCCGGTTGGTCCGCCAACGCCACTCGAGATGTCGTCCTCCTCGTCACTGGTCGCTGAAACCCCGCGTCGGCCGCCGCCACTGACGGAGGCAACGCATGGCGAGCGCAGATCAGCAACCAGAGTCCTGATAAAAAGGAGGGAGGGATGGAGGAGGCGGGGAGGCGGTCGAGAGGGAGGAGGAGGAGCGCGACGACGAATGGACGATGGGGAGATGGAGAGGAGAGGAGGAGAGGAGGGAGGGAGGAGAGGGGGGCAGGACGAGGACAGACAGGGCGAATGAGAGATGAGGAGATGAGGAGGGGAGGAGGAGGGGAGGAGGTGGGGAGGGAAGAGGGAGGGAGGGGTCCTGACCGAACCTCGTTCCACACTGGCGAGGGAATCGGCACGCCCATCTCGCGCAAGATGGCGACGGCGCAGCGCCAGTCGAAGACGCGGCCCAAGCCGCGTCCCTGGCGGTACAGCGAAAACGTCACCACGAACGCATCGTGGTGCAGCAAGCGCGCCAGCACAGCATCTGGAGCCTCGGAGGCAGGAAACGGTAGGGAGGTAGAGAGGTGAGGAGGTGAGACACGGTGGGACCCCTGGGATTTGGCAGGTCGGCCGCTGGCGCTGGCAGCCCAGCCGTTGCCGTCGCCCCCTGTAGCCGCCGAGGGACGCGGCCACCCCCCCTGGGGCCTTGAGGAAGGAGAGGAGGAGGGAGGAGGAGGAGGAGGAGGAGGAGGAGGAGGAGGAGGGGGAGGAGGAGGCGGAGGTGGAGGAGGAGGGGGTGAAGATGAGATGAGGAGGAGGGAGGAGGAGAGGAGGAGGAGGAGGAGGAGGAGAGGAGGGAGGAGGAGGCAGAGGAGGAGGAGGAGATGATGAGGGGCCCTGAGGCCCTGACTTCCTCCTCCTCCTCATCCCCTCCTCCTCCTCCTCCTCCTCCTCCTCCTCCTCCTCCTCCTCCTCCTCCTCCTCCTCTCCTCCTCATGTTCCTCTTCAGCGTATCCCCGCGTGACATGCCTCTGGGTGGCGCGTCGGATCGTGGACCACCAGGTCGGACCACGCCGCGACGAAGGCGAGCACGTCGTCCGTCCGCAACACTGGCACGATCGCGCCATCGCAAGTGCGTATGGGCGAAGTCAGCGGCGGCAAAACCAAACGAAGTTTCGCGATGACCACCTCGAACATCTCTCGAGCCACGGAGCTACGGAAAGCCAGGCGGTAAGCACATACAGTCGAAACGTGACCACAAGCCACAAGGACACAAGGACATGGAACAAAACAGTGAGTCCCTTCCCCGATGGTGGAGGGCTGGCAAGCGAAGAACATGAAGATACCTTTTCGACGCCGAACCCGGGCATACAAAAGCAAGTCCTCGGGGCCCCAGTGCCAAAAGGTCGACTCCTCCACATTATTCTTCTCGTTCTTCTCAGATCTTCTCCTCTTTCTCCTCCTGCCCCCTCCCCCCTTTATCCCCCTCCCCCTCCTCCTCCGCATACTCCAAGACAACGACGACAACGACGGCCTCCGACCACGACGGCGACGGCGGGGGCGACGACGACGGCGGCGGCGGCGGCGACGGCGACGATGGCGGGTGGCGACGCCAACGACGAAGCTACGATGGCGACGGAAAAGTCCTCTCCATCCTCGGATCTGATCCGAGGGAACACCGTTTTCGGAACGCGCTGGGCAGGAGCAGGCGCCGCGGGAATCGGCCAGCTCGGCATCTCGGCTAACTCGTTCTCTCCCCCAGAGGAGGGAGGGGGGGGGGGGCAATGCGTGCGATTTGTGAAATCAGCTGTCGGAATTCTTGAAATCCCGCAACAATTGTAAATCGAACCACTGAAATTCAATCTCTTCAATTTTGTAGTTCCGTGTGAATATGGAGCTGACTAATTGGAATTCAATTCCACCAATGAGCTGATTTATTGAAATTCAACTCGATGAGTATTACCAATGATTGAAATTCAGAAGGTCAAATTTCAATGCTTTCAAAGCCGCTGCTCTTCACGGAGCGCTCGCGAGGAGCGTGAATAATGGTTCTGGAGAGAAAAGGGGGGGGCCACCAACAACCGCCCAAGTTGCATCCCTACTGCATCGCTTGACGTCCGTCATCTACTTTATTCACTGGCGTAGAAATCAATGTGGATGGCATGAGGCACCCACTAGTCTCTCTCGTGAGACTCGCCACTGACTTCCATCATGTGCCCCATCTGCTCGCCCAGCTAATACTCCACGCTGCGCTGGATCGATCCGATGCTGCTCATCAGACAGCGTCTGCAGGAACACTCATGCCAGTGGCACTCCCATAGTTGTTCACTTTGAGGCGCGCCTCTCGCATCGTTCATCACAACGTCCAGCTTGTCGCGGATGTTCCCCCAAAACAAATCAAACTGTCGTCGTGGCAATCCTTGCAGACCGCCAGCTCGCGCGCCCTGTCAGTTCCGAAAGCCGCCGCTCGGGCCTTCTTATTGATATTCTGCGTCAGCCTAGGCTCGCCTGGGAATGCCGCAGGAGCAGCTGGAGCTGGCGCTGCCAGCGCCTCTCTTGGGCCCGCGTCAGGCATGGCCGCGCCCCGAGCCCGTGGAGGCGCGGGGCTGACCGCTCCCAGTCCACTGGCGCTGCTCGCTGCACCCGGCGCGGGCGCGCCTTCGGCCGGCGCCGTCGCCGCGCCGCCGCCGCGACCTTCTCCGCGAGAAAGCTCTCCCAGATGGTCTTGAACGGCTGTCGGTGCGCTGCCGAGCGCGGTCCGCAGCCAGCACTCCCGATCCGGTGCCTGATCTCGTCGCCGTACGCCGCGACTTCGCCGCGGTATTCCCTGCCGCGTAGCATCTTATGCGATGGGCCCCCCTGGCTGCGCGGATGGAGCTTCGGGGTCATCCGCCCCGCTCTGTCCACCAGCCACGCCGCGATCGGGTCCTGCATCTGAATCTCCACTCCAAACCTCTGTTCCAGCTTCAGCTTGCAAGCCCGCAGTTGCCCCGCCCGAAAGCCTGCTGGCTCGCTCGATGCCCCCTGCGCTCTGCTTCGAGAGGGGCGGTAAGCCCCGCGACGGAGTGGGGCGAGACGTTCGACCCCTTGCGGCGCTCGCCCAGGTCGTCGTCGCAGGCTCGGAATCCGTCTTCAGCATCACAATCGTGCGACCCCAGCTCCCTAACGCCCTCTGAAGATGGCCAGCCTTGTAATCGTCGGGCTCCTTATTGGCTCAGAGCGTCGCCTGAGCTAGGACCTTCATTCGCTCGCGCTGAGAACAGGGGTCGTCTCCTCCAGTGCTCCTCCAGGTCTGCTTGCGCCATCTCCAGCATCCCCCTGCTGCTGGGGAAGACATTGAGCTTGCGCTTCGCGGCCAGCTCGTCGGCCCCGCGCAGAGGAAAAAAACGAAGCAGACCTTCGGGGTCTGCATCTGGCCTGGACCACTCAGCATTCAGCGCGGACCATCGCCAGCTCGACCTTGAACGCGCACTACGGAGGAACATAGAGATGATGTCCTTCATAAGCTGCTCTTTATGCTGCACCCGGCTGGCGCGGCGACCTGAACGCTCTCGCAGTCGCCGCCATCGCCCCGTCAGGCTCTGGGCCCGACGCTCGAGGAGGGCACCCAGCCTCTCTTTCAGCAGGCGCGCGTCCGGGAAGCGCCCTTCTCACTGCTGCCATCCTTGTGCCTGGCTGGCCTCCGCCATCCAGGAATTCGTCGCCAGCAGCCAGTCGGTGGCTGCATCAATGATCCAATGGCCTGCGCGACTGAAGAGGACTCTGCTGCGTCGAGCGACCGCCGCATCTGTCGCCTTCGCGGGGTGCTCCGCGTCCGCCACTTGAGCCCCGCGTGCCCGACAGGCCCGCCGCGTTGCAATCCTTCGACGCGCGCCAGTGCATCTCCGCTTGCTTTCTGGCCACAGCGCTCATCTGCGTTCGTGAACCCAGCGCCGCTGCGTGCCGAAGCGGCGCTAACCGCTTTCGGTCATCACCGCCGCTGCACTCTTGAAGTCCACAAATCTGGTCGTGCGCGGAGCGAACCGCGGTCGCCCCGGTGCATCGGCAGTCGTCGTCGCAAGAACCCCTGGGAGCCACAGCAGAGCACGCCGCCGCATGCCGCCCAACTTGCAGAAGTGCAGCTTCCAGTCAGCGCAGTTCTTTCGATCGCCCCTGAACGCCTTCTCGCAGGGGCCGCGCTCGCACGCTTCGAGGGCGCCTGGTCCCCAGACACAGTCGGCGTGGTGCGACCGCGTCTTCTTACCCCTGCGGCCAGAATCGCCTTCGCATTGGCTACCGGCAGAATCGCCGCGCTGGCTGCGCTGCCGGGGGCTCGGCTTCCCAGGGCCAACTGCGCGGGGGCCTGTGGCTGACCCTCCTGTCGCAGCCGGGCCTGCTCCATTGCCGCGGCGGCGGCGTGCTTCTTTGTCGTTGTCCTTTGTCCTCCGAGTCTTCGTCTTGAGAGTGGGCCGTTCCTCGGCCTTCTTTTTCTCGTCGGCGAATCTCTGGCGACGACCGCTCTGCCGTTCTCCTGTCCAGCGACAATGGTGACACTCCATGTCCGCGTTGGGGCTGCGGTTGTCGCTTTGTTGTTGGCTGTGGCATTTCCCTTTCTCCCCCGTCCCTTGCCCCTGCCCCTGCTGTCCGCCCCCATTCCTCGCGCCGATCTCCATCGGGTGGTCGGTCGCTGCGCACTCCGCTGTCATGGTCGACGCTATCTCGTCCCTCGCGAACTCGAATGTGTCGAGGCGCGAACTGTTGCGGAACACGTGCCCCTGGAGTTCGGCGTGACATTTCAGCGCCATTGTGAAGATCACTCTTCCCATCGCGTCTGAGAGCCCCTCGCCTGTCATCTTCTGGTGCCGCGAAGCTCCCTTCTCACTGTTGCCACCCTTGCGCCTGGCTGGCCTCCGCCATCCAGGAATTCGTCGCCGGCGGCCAGTCGGTGGCCGCATCAATAAGCCAATGACCTGCGCAACTGAAGAGAACTCTCCTGCGTCGAGCGACCGCCGCATCTTTCGCCACCGCGGGGTACTCCGCGCCCGCAACTTCAGCTCCAACTTGGGCCACCTCTCCGCCCCGGGAAAATTGAGCCCCGCGTGCCCGACAGGCCCACCGCGTTGTAATCCTTCGACGCGCGCCAGTGCATCTCCGCTTGCTTTCTGGGCACAGCGCTGATCTGTGTTCGTGAACCCAGCGCCGCTGCGCGCCGAAGCGGCGCTAACCGCATTCGGAAATCACCGCCGCTGCACTCTTGAAGTCCACAAATCTGGTCGTGCGCGGAGCGAACCGCGGTCGCCCCAGCGCATCGGCAGTCGTCGCCACAAAACTCCTGGGAGTCAAGACAGAGCATGCCGCCCAACTTTCAGACGCGCAGCTTCCAGTCAGCGCAGTTCTTTCGATCGCCCCTGAACGCCTTCTCGCAGGGGCCGCGCTCGCACTCTTCGAGGGCGCCTGGCCCCCAGACGCAGTCGGCGTGGTGCGACCGCGTCCTTTTACCCCTGGTGCCAGAATCGCCTTCGCATTGGCTACCGGCAGAATCGCCGCGCTGGCTGCGCTGCCGGGGGCTCGGCTTCCCAGGGCCAACTGCGCGGGGGCCTGTGGCTGACCCTCCTGTCGCAGCCGGGCCTGCTCCATTGCCGCGGCGGCGGCGTGCTTCTTTGTCGTTGTCCTTTGTCCTCCGAGTTCTTCTTCTTGAGAGTGGGCCGTTCCTCGGCCTTCTCTTTCTCGTCGGCGAATCTCTGGCGACGACCGCTCTGCCGTTCTCCTGTTCAGCGACAATGGTGACGCTCCATGGCTGCGTTGGGGCTGCGGTTGTCGCTTTGTTCTTGGCTGTGGCATTTCCCTTTCTTGCCCCGTCCCTTGCCCCTGCCCCTGCTGTCCGCCCCCACTCCTCGCGTCGATCTCCATCGGGTGGTCGGTCGCTGCGCACTCCGCTGTCATGGTCGACGCTATCTCGTCCCTCGCGAACTCGAACGCGTTGAGGCGCGAACTGTTGCGGGACACGTGCTCCTGGAGTTCGGCGTAACATTTCAGCGCCATTGTGAAGATCACTCTTCCCATCGCGTCTGAGAGCTCCTCGCCTGTCATCTGCTGGTGCCGCGCAGTGATCTCGTCGAACTTCTGGATGTCGGCCAAAACGTCCTCGCGCAACTCGACCTTCGTGTCCGCCGGACGCGCCGCATCGCGAGCGCTTTTCCAGCCTCTGTCAGGCCCCTTCATCCTTAGTCAGCGTCCCCCAGCACAGGGCCCCTTCCCCTGGGGCGCTGTTCCCCACGATCAGCTCCCCCGCCGAGCCCCCGGGCATCGCCAGGGCTAGGGCGACGTACAACTGCGCGCTGAATTCGTCCTCCCGAACTTTCGCGCTCACATTGCCCACCTCTCCCGCGTTGTCCTCGATCTTCCCGAGGTCGAACGGCATCGCCTTGCGTCAGATCTTCGGGTCCAGGATCTCTGCGTAACCTCTTGCTGCGGCTCGACCTCGATCCTTCTGCCTTTGAAGCTGTCCTCGCACTTCCGCTAGAGCATGTCTCTCTGCTGGAGAGCTGCCCACAATTCGTCACCGTCAGTTGCCTCGCCTGGTCCATCAACTGGCGAACCTGCTACTCCATCCTTGCCGTCGTCTGCGTCTAGCCTCGCTTGGTGTCGACGCGGCTGCTTGGTCACGGCGGCCCTCTCCTCGAGACAGAGAGAAGCCGCGTCCCCGCGCCCCGCGAGCTTGCGCCAGGCGCTGCCGCCAGACTTGCGGTGCCGCCCAGCCTCGCAACTTCGCTGTTCGCGTTCGTTCCTCCACTTGGAGGGAGGTGCAAGGGCCCCCCGCGTCCTCCGTCGCGCTCTGCCTCCCGGGGAAGCTTTGCACGCCACTGCGGGGTCAACCGCACTCTGACTGTCTTGCCCGCCTTGGGCGCAGTGCTGGCCAAGGCGGGGGGGGGGAGGGGCCGCCGCCTGGCCGCTGTTTCCTGGCCAAGGCACGGGTGTGCCCGCTGCCTGGCCGATGTCTAGCCAGGGGTAACCCGTTGCCTGGCCGCTGTCGCCGCGCGCGCCGCGGCCAGCCCTTGAGATGCGCAGCCCCCCGCGATCAAGCGAGCTCCATTACTATGTTCGAGTCCCTTTCCGCCCGCGGCAGCTGTGGGGAAGAACGGCGTTGTCAGGGTTTTTTGTTCAGCCGAACATAGCGGAGTAACCGTCCCCCTTTTTTCCGTGTGCTGTTTACACATGTGTTGAGCGAGCGTTTTTCTTTTCTTTTTAATATATTATTATTATTATTATTATTATTATTATTCTTCTTCTTATTATTACTATTATTATTAGTAATATTATTATTAGTAGTATTATTAGTATTATTATTATTACTATACCTGGTATTATTACTAGTATTATTATTGTTATTATTATTGTTATTTTGAATTATCATTATTATTATATATATACATTCAAGAAGAATAATAACGTCTTTGCTCAATTCGATCAGCTGTGCTCCTTCCAAAATGATGCTCTCGCTGTAGCATCAGCCCCGCTATCGGATCGGCGCTGTGCGCCATTCGTTTAGAATGGCGCTCCCGCCCAAGCGTGGGCACTTTCGTAGTACCGCACAAGTCTCGCAGGTCCCACAGGTCTCGAAACTCCCGCAGACACCACAGGTCCCATATGTCTCTCAGGTCCGACAACTGTCGCAGGTCGTCCCGCAGGTCCTGCAACTACTACTGGTTTGACACGTTCCACAAGCCCACACGTCCAACAAGTGATGCAGGTCTCACGTGCCCCACAGGTCCCATTGGTCCTGCAGGTCCCAAAGCATGCTATGACACGCGTCCGCGGATAGAGAAAACATTGCGCAATGGGAGGGATGGGGGGAGGAAGGGATCGGATGTGAGATCTGGTGCGAGCGCCCCTAGCTCGCCGCCCTCCGATGCAGCCTGCATGATGAAGGATTTGTTGGCCGCCGGATCTCTATCCTCACCCCGGGGCGCTTGGTCGCGGGGTTATGGATTTTGATTCGGGGGATGCCTACCCCTCTTCGGGCATGCTCTCGGCGGGGCGCGGCTGTCCCCGGGGCCCTTGCTTTGCTCCTGGGGGGGCACGTTTCGTCCGCCCCAACGGGCGCAACACACTGGCACCAAAGCGTAAGCGTGCGTCCTCGTTATCCCCCCATGGGATACCGAGTGTACATGGCCTACTCAGTTCGGAGTCGAAGCTGTGTATGCCGTTTTTGTTTTGCCCCCTCCTTTCGGGAACTCCCGCCTCAGGACCAGGTCGCATCTCGAACGGCCAGACGATCCCGGACATGCGAGGACCATCATGGGCCTCTGCCTCTCCGGTGGTGACCATCATAGGCGCCACCCCGCGGCAGCTACCATCATTGGGGCTGCCGGGGCCCCACCCCCATCAGTACACCAATCCATGAAGTCGTCATTGGCGCTGGAGGCGGCCGACGCTCTCCCTACGGTCCCTCGGCCAACGAAGACGGCCGTAGGGGGGGGTGCCAACGTTTCTCCACAACTCAGACCTTCAAGACCTTCAGGCGCCAATTGCCGCCATTCATTGTTTTCCTCCCCCTCCTCCTCCTCCTCCTCCTCCTCCTCGCTCTGCTTTGGCCGAAAGGGGGTATACGCCCGCCCTAGTCCCAGGCCTGGCCGAGCCAACATTCATGTTGGCGTGTGCTTGCCGTCCCCTGGGGTCCGCTCTTGATGGCCCACTCCTGCACCTTGCGGTCGCTGAGCTCCGTGAAGGACGGGTTTCTCTCCATGAACGCGTCCACCACGTCAAACGTCCCTTCGTCGGGCAAGCCGACAGGGAACACGACCGTGCTCTTGCCCGATGGCGCGGCATCTGCCTTCGCGTCGGCAGCGGACGCCTCCTGCACCATCCTGCACGTGAAGGGCAGCGCCTTCTCGTGGGTGCGCAAGGTGGGGGGAGAGCGAAATTGGCAGGGCAAAAAGGCCGAGGGGGGCAGGTCGAGGGAAGCACGCAAAAAGGGGGCGGGGGTGGTGGTGGTGGTGGGGGGGGGTATTTCTTGCAGGAGGGAAGCGGGATGAGAACGGATTATGAAGTCCCTCTCGCTGTCTCTTTCTCTCTCTCTCTCTCTGTGTATATATATACACATATCCGCCCCCTTGTCGGGCCTCCCGGGGGTCCTCGTGGCCACAGATGCACGCGGCTCGAACGGCTGGAGGTGGAGGACAAAGAGGAGGGGGAATGGGAGGGGGATTGACTAGCCATGAGCGGCCAGTCCCCGACGGGGCAGGACTAGCACAACAGCTTGTCGTGGGGAGGGAGGGGGAGATGAAGAGGAAGAGGAGGATGGGATACGTAAGCCCGGGATGTTTCTGGGACAGATCTGTGGAACTGAGCTTGGGCGGGGGCAAGGTCAGGGCGGCGGCCCTCCTGAGAATAGGAAGCTTTCTGAAGATAGGAAGCTTCCTTTGGTGCGTATATATATATATATATATATGTACAGATGAAATTCGCGATGGCGCCCCTATGCCAGGACACCCCACACCCCTCCCCCCCACCCTCGCTATGACCAGGGTAGCCGTCAGGGAATGGCCACGGTAGCTGAAACCCGGGCGGCGCAAGCGCGAATCGCGTGAAAATACATTAGCTGGCCCTTGAAGCGTATTGGAAAGGGGGGCGACCAATGTTCCGGATGCTCCTTCTATCTGATAAGGCAGCCCTCTCACCGCGTCGCCATTTCCCTTGACCATTCCAATGTCCGTCCTGATGTTTTGCTGGGTCAGTGGCAACAGAAGCAGGCACAAACACGTCGAACAGGATCGACCCACGAACACGTAGTATGTATGTCTGTCTGTATGTATGTATGTATGTAGGTAGGTATGTATGTATGTATATATCTATATACACTAGAACCATCGCGCGCGCTTCGCGCGCGCTTTAATTCTAGCCGGGGTCAAAGACAAATCGACGAAAACTTCGTCGAAACGCGTCCGGCAAAAGGTCGACGGAAGACTCGAACGAACATAACACAGCTCGTCCTTAGCGCTCGCGTTGCTTAGCGTCCTTGGCGTTCGTGCTGCTCTCTGATCGACTAAAATCCGCTCAGAAAGACCCCCTGGGCCCCAGGGGCCGAAAACCGACAGACCTCGTCGAATCTCGATCCTCGATTGATCGGTCCTCGACTGGCGCCTGCGACGACGAGCGCGACGACGGCGGAGGCGACGACGACGACGGCGGCGACGATGACGACGACGACGGCGGCGGCGCTGACGACGGCAACGGCGACGACGACGACGACGACGACGACGGCGGCGACGCCGCCGTCGCCGTCGAGGTCGTCGCCGTCCCTGCGCGGGGGGCGGGCCGCGGGGGGGTTCTTGGAGTCTCTTAGGGGCCTCTTGGGGGGATCTTCCCCTCCATAAGCCCCCGCTGGGTTTGGCCTAATGGGGGGATCTCTTGGGGGCCTCTTGGAGCCTCTTAGGGGCCTCCAAGGGCCTCCTGGGACCTTCTTGGGGCGGAAGGGTCGGATTTTCGGGTCGGGCTCCCCCTCTTGGGCTCCTCTTGGAGCCGTCTTGGAGCTCTCCGAGGTCGTTTTGGGGACCTCTTGGGGTGTCTTGGCCCCCTCTCGGGGCGTCTTTGGAGCCTCTTGGGCCGTTTCGGGACTCTCTTGGGGGCCTCTTGTACCGTCGTCACCGCTGCGAAGACCGACAAGTCGTAGATGCTAAGAATATTCGTATTCCAATGCAAGATGAATGATTGTGGCCTCTTGGGGCCCTCTTGGGAAGCATCTTGGGGGCCTCTTGGGGCGTCTTCGCGGTCTCTCGGGCACTGTGAGAACCGTTTTGGGCGTCCAAGGGCTAGCTTTGAGTGCTCCAGGGCCGCCATGGAACGTTTTGGGAGCCTCATGGGGCCCTCTGGCCACCCCGTGGCCGCCCCTCGGGCTGTCTTGGGCCGTGTTGGTAGCCACTTGGGGCGGTCTTTGGGGCCTCTTGTACCGTCGTGCGCGCCGTGAAGACCGAAAATACGTAGATGCTATACATGCACGTTTTCCTATGCAAAGTCAATGATTTTAGGCGCTTGGGGCTCCCTTGGGAAACCTCCTGGGGCGTCGTAGCGGCCTCTTGGGCCCTATGGGAGCCATCTTGGGTGTCCACGGGCGATCTTGGAGAACCCTGGGGCCGTCTTGGACCGATTTGGGAGCCTCTTGGGGCTCCGTGGACACGTCTTGGCCGCCTCTTGAGCACGCCTTGGCCTCTGGGGCTGTCTTGGGTTCCTCTTGGGCCGCGTTGGGGACCTCTTGGGCCGCCTGTACCCTCGTGCACGCCGTGGCGACCGAAAAGACGTAGATGCTGAACATGCACGCTTCCCTTGGCAAAATCAATGATTTTGGCCGCTCGGGGCTCTTTTAGAAAGCAACCTGGGGCGTTGTAGCGGCTTCCTGGGCCCAATGGGAAAAAACTGGAGCGTCCAGGGGCGATCTTTGAGCGCCCCGGGGCCGTCAAGGACCGGTTTGGGCTCCACTTGCGCCTCCCTGGGCACGTCTGGGCCGCCTCTAGGCCCGGACAGGAGCGCTCCCAGAGCCCCGGGTCGGCCATGGGGGACGCAGGGACCGGCCTGGCGGCCCCGATCCCCTTCCGCCGTTTTTTTTTTTTTTTTTTTGTGTGTGTGTGTTGTGTGTATACACACATATATATATATGATTGGAGATGAATCCAGTATAATATGCTCAATTAATTTAATTTATTTAACTTATTTAATTCATTTATGTTGGCTAATAAAAAAAATAAATTCTATTTATTTGATTTATTTATTTTATTTAATTTATTTAATTTATTTAATTTATTTGTTCGGCCTCCCTGGCGGAGATCACGGCAGGCTTCAGGTGCACCCGAATTTATTTAATTTATTTAATTGCTGCGTTTTAAATAAATTAAATAATTAAATAAATTAAATAATATATTGGGCCCTGGCGATCGCCAGGCTCTCCGCCAGATAGGCCGAGAAGTAAATTAAATAAATTAAATAAATTAAATAAATTAAATAAATTAAATAAATAGAATTTATTTAATTTATTTTATTTATTTAATTTATTTATGTGAGTTAATGAAATAAATTAAATAAATTCTATTTTTTAAAAATTTATTTAATTTGTTTAATTTATTTAATTTATTTAATTTATTTTTTCGGCCTCCCTGGCGGAGATCGCGGCAGGCTTCAGGTGCACCCGAATTTATTTAATTTATTTAATTGCTGCGTTTTAAATAAATTAAATAATTAAATACATTAAATAATATATTGGGCCCTGGCGATCGCCAGGCTCTCCGCCAGATAGACCGAGAAATAAATTAAATAAATTAAATAAAATAAATAAATTAAATAAATTAAATAAATAGAATTTATTTAATTTATTTAATTTATTTAATTTATTAATGTGGATTAATTAAATAAATTAAATAAATCCCATTCATTTAATTTATTTAATTTATTTAATTTATTTAATTTATTTTTTCGGCCTCCCTGGCGGAGATCATGGCGGGCTTCAGGTGCACCCGAATTTATTTAATTTATTTATTTGCTGCGTTTTAAATAAATGAAATAAATTAAATAAATTAAATAAATTAAATAATATATTGGGCCCTGGCGATTGCCAGAACCTCCGCCAGATAGGCTGAGACGGCGACGACGGCGCCAGAAAGTATTAAAAGTGCGGTACCCCCGGTCCCTGGGCCACCGCCTCCTTGGCATGTTTTTTTCTCATATTATGCCTCCGCCTTCTCCCTACTATTTTTACTCCTCCTCCTCGTCCTCCTCCTACTCTTTCATTTCTTCCTGGTCTGCCAGCGTTTACGCAGGGAGCGGTAATCGTGCCGCCGCTCGCAGACGTGAACTCTACAGTGCTTTTTTGTTCGGTACCCCCGGGGCCTGGGCCACCCCCGACGACCATGACTACGACGACGACGACGACGACAGGGGCAGCGGGCGCGACGACGACGGCGAGGACGGCGGCGGCGGCGGTGGAGGCGGCGGCGGCGGCGGCGAAAGCGAAGTCGGCGGAAGTGTCCGGGAGCGCGCCGTCCGGACACTTCCAAAGACTCTGGACGACGATGACGACGACGACGGCGACGACGGCGGCGGCGGCGGTGGAGGCGGCGGCGGCGGCGGCGAAAGCGAAGTCGGCGGAAGTGTCCGGGAGCGCGCCGTCCACACACTTCCAAAGACTCTGGACGACGATGACGACGACGACGGCGACGACGGCGACGACGGCGCCAGAAAATATTGAAAGTGAAAATATGATATATTGTTTATTAGTTAATTTTTTCCCGTGCTCTTCTCCCGCCAAGGCCGAAGGAAAAATCGGTCGTGAGTGGTGAGATAATACCGTGCCGTCCGCTTCCGGAGGCTTCCAAAACCCAGCGGAGGCTGCCACGGAAATGTCCGGAGGCCCTTGGGGGCCTCCCTGGGGCCTGCCAGGCTTCTCTGGGGGCGCCCAAAATAAGTGGTACAAGCATGGGTTCCAAACGATAAGTTTTACCTATTTTGAGGGCCCTCTTGGACCTCTCTTGGGCTTCTTGGGGGCCCATTGGTCGTCTTGCGCCATATTGTTGGCTTTCTTGGCTTTTTTTTTCCGCCGTGTTGGGGCGATCACTGCAGTCTGCGGGTCTCCTAGTATCATCGCGAGGCCGTCTTGAGGTTGTACTGTCATGGTCCGAACCACTCGGAGGTTCGAGGATCGAACTTCGGGGAACGAGGTACAGCCCGAAAACCAACCGAACGACGGAGGGGGGGGAACTGGGAGGAGGAGGAGGAAAAGGAGGAGGAGGAGGAAGAGGAGGAGGACGACGACGACGACGACGACGAGGACGAGGAGGACAAGGAGGACGAGGGAGGGGGAGGAGGAGAAGGAACAGCAGCAGCAACATCAGAAAGTGTCTG